GAAGAGGGGACACTGAGAGACATTAACCCATGGCTCCTTCTGTCACTCTGTGGCCATCACTGGAAGGCAAACAATCCTCAGAAACATCTTTTCGAGGAGACAAAGAAATTGCTTTGCCACTCTTCAGTAAAGTACCATGCATAAATAAGTGTGCAGCTCTTTACACACTTATTTTCTCTTGTGACTGTGCTTGAAACACTTGCACAGAGCCACGCTAAGCTCAAATGGGTTTTGTTCTAGCCGAGTGTCACTTGTCTCATGGCCTGTCACAAAGACTGAAGGGTAGACCCCAGAGCTACGAGGCCGAGCTGCTGCAGCAGGAGGTGTACATCAAAGGCAGCAAAGACAAACACAGCGGCTGCGGAGGGAGGCTTAACACGCAGCACCAACTGGTTGTGTTTTCTTTTCCATGCATCACTTTTTTAATTATTTCCATGAGCTTTCAATTTGAAAGAGATTATGTAAAACCACATTCTAGTCTGCTGTGCATGAAATTCAAAATGTCTACATTAATGCAGAAATGAAGCAACTCCCACCTCTAAAGCTAAATGCTGTAAATAAATAGCTACATGGTATGAAGAGAGAATGAGGCTCAGCTGGGGCTCGACAGACTCAGGTTTTGTTCTCATTTCTACCCTTGACCTGTTCTGTGACTTTGAGCAAGTTGTTGCTTTTTTCCTATTTCTTTCTGGGTCAGGGACTACCTGTCATTTTGTGTTCATATAGTGGCTGGCATGAAAAGCCCTAGCACTAGCAGAGATCTCTCGATACCACTACAATACAAACAATATTTTAATACCTGTTAAACAAGAAGCACAGAGGAGGTGTTTTTCTTTCCCATTAAAAAAAGTTTCATGCTGTAATAAGTGAAAACTTCATATGTTTCATAAATACATCTATGTTTCTGTTAACCTCAAACACATATTCAAATATGTTCCTAATTAAAATCCAGATGCTTATTACAGAACTGTTAAGACTATTTTCCACCTCTGTGACTTAAGATACTGAAGTTTTATTGCCTCTCTTCTACTTCTCATAAAAAGTATTGATTTGCTATATCTTATATTTTAGATTTATATTAAAGGCTTCACAAAAAACTCCACTCCCAATGCATTTTTTTAAACTATCATTATCTCAAGCAGAGGGCGCAACTGTATTTACGTTAGAACAAAACCCCATATATTTACTACATATTTGAAAGTGGTTAATATATTTTTTTCTATTCAAATCAATCTGTTTCTCAGCAGTCAATGTTGAAATAGGCCTTTTCCTAGTGTCTTAGGTAACAGTTCTGTCTTTTCTTGCCTCTTTCTCCTTGCTTACACATACAAATGTCCATTTATAAATTGCCGGCTGAAATAGATGCCACTCTAATTTCACAAATTCACACCATAAGCTGCAAAAAGTACATCTTTACATGCCTAAAGACTTCACCATCTCTAACGGTATCCTACAGACTCTAATAAAACTACATTAGAAAGATTCATTTTTTTATTTGTGTGGGTGTACATTAAGGCTTTTGTTCTTGCTTTTGGTACTTTATTTCTGATATAAATGCTGAAGTATCATTTCCAAGGACAAAGAGTTCAAGGTCATTGCAAGAAACTGATACCTTGAAATATTCCTTGGAATAAAAGGCAATACAATACAGACTGGGTTAAACTAATGAACAAAATTAAAACACTGGGATGTGAATTCAAAAAGATGGGAGCAATAATACATAGATAATTTTAACCTGTTCGTGTACATATGCTCATGGAGCCAGGATGTTGACAGCAAAATTCAACACATTCTGACCAGTGGAAAATGTATTTAAAATATATGGCTTGATTTTTGGAAGGAGACAGCAGTATTGAATACCAAAAATATTAAACATGAAAAATTAAAACAGTCGTTTTCTTATTTTTTTCCTTTAGATGCCAGGATATTTACTTTTTTTTTTTTTTTTTTTTTTTTTTTAAGTGATTACAAGTCTAAAAGATGCTCATGTATTTGATAATGTTCATCAGCCCAAGAACATAAGGTAAGAGCAGCAATTTTAGATGATTTGTCCAATGAGGCCATTAAAAATTCTTATCTTAGAGAATTTTAATTAGATTTTTTTTTCTTTTCTTTAAAAACAAACAAACAAAAAACACCACTGTATAATTGGATAGTGAAAAATATTTGCATTTTCAAATGCTGCTGGACTGGGAGATGGTTGCTTTTTGTTTGCCAGTTCAAGTACTCCTCTGGAAACAGAACCACAACATTTGAATTGTAATTCTAGTTGGCAGCAAAAACGTTTCTTAGCTGGTCAGCATGTCAGTACTGTTCTGACACAGTAAGTGGCTGAAGTAATGACAGGAGGAAGCCCGCAGGGAACGAAATTTTGTTAGAAATGTTGGCTCAGCTGGCTTCAGTGGGGTCACGTGGGTCCCCATGACCAGCATGCCCATCTTTAAATAAAGAAAGAAGCTACCTCCAATGACAAACACTCACCCATCACTGCCACATCACTTCTGGACCGCCGACACAGGAGCTGCTTCTGCCACTGGTAAAAGTTCACAATTTGTCAGCTCAAAAGTCTGTCTTTTGCTAATGGATTACTTTTGAAATGTCTGCTGAAAGGGGACTTTTAAACTTATTTATGTATTTATTTCTAAATAGAGTACAAAAAACACGTTGCTTGGGCTCTAGCTTCTCATAGCAGGGTCCCCAATTTTAGAGACCTCCTTGGTCATTGTCTCCCAAGATTCACCCTTGGAAAAGGGATGAGGGTGACAGTGTCCAGATTGCACAGCCAAGCTCTCTTTTTCTCCCTCAGGGGCTTTCAGGCACAGGAAGAGAAAGGTAGCATGCTTTGAAACAAAGACACCTGATCCATAGACTGGAGCATCCCCTGGATGAAGCATCATTGCTCTACCATAGACCTCCACAGACCTAGACCCCAGTGACAATTTTGTCCTCGCTTTCGTTTCTCAGCAATAGGATAAACAGCGCTTTATTCCCTCCACATAGGTACTGAGAAGAGCAACAAAATCACATTTTTGAGACAATCAGATAGGATTGTAATGGAAGTAACATGTATATCATTTATATGCTTATTCATGAAAGATTTTAGAAACCTGTTCAGGAATGCCAAGATGATTTAGATAAAGGGAATGAACCTATTTAGCAAGGTTTCAAGTGCACATCTTTGGTGCTTTCTTTGCAAGCAGGTGAAGGAAAGTGCCTCTGAAATGCACTTGCTCCCTGGTGTATGGGGAAGTCTGAATGGTCAGATTACATAACCTGCTTCATTTTAAGGCCCATAGAAAAAAATCTGTGAAATTTGAGGGTACCTGAAAAACCAGGCATAGAAACAAAATATCCAGGTGAGCTAGAGAAGGTAAGGGCGGAGCCGTCCTTGTCTTTTAATGTTATTAATATTATTATTATTATTTTATTTTTTAAATAGGGGAGATCTTTCCTTTAATTTCTCTTCAGAGGCTCAGCCTACCTGTTCTGGCCAAAACACTCAGCTGCAGCTGCAGGGCCAGCCTCTCTGACTGCCCTGCTGTCGTGGCACCTGGCAGATCTTCCAGCGTGCTGATACCCGCCAATGCACTCCGGTCAGCAACGCTCCCAGCAATGCTCCTTTCTCTCAGCTCATTACCTTCCAGGCCAGGAATGTGCCTACAAGCAGACAAAACAGACAAAAGAACCTAAGAAAGTCTTTTCTTCTGCAAGCCTCAGAGAGTTCCTCTGGATTGAACAACTCACCGCAACAGCAATGAGGTAGGCTACCACAAACAGAAGAAAATAAGGGAAAATAAGACAAGTGCATTTACCCTTATTTCCTCCTACAGAGAACTGTTTTAGAAGAGGAATCCAGTGAAACACTAACTAGTTGTTGTGATGGATGATCTCACCTAGCATTTCATTGCTAGGCAGACGTAGCATGTTCATAAACATGAAAAATTTGCTACGAAACACACCATCTGTAACTCAAGCTGGGAACACAAAATACATCAGAATACAAGGGAAGAAAATCATGAAATATTTTTGAAAGGCTCTTCTCACTAAACTAAAATTTCTATCTTGCCTATAATTCGAAGTGACCAACACATCCCTAGATTTGCAGTCCATTTTAGTGAGCATTCATATATCAAAGAGAGATTATGGCTTCAAAACACAAGGAGTTAACCTATTTTTCAAGCAGACCCACTTGAGATTAGTGGAAGATGGTCTAATGGGCAGCTCTGCAGAAAGATTAAATTGTATTGAGATGTGAGAGTGACAGATGAGGGAATTGATTCCTGCCCCACCTACTGTATCGGTATGGCAATTTTTCTTTTTTAGCACAGAAAAAAAAATCAACAAAGGCTTATTATGCAGCTGCTTTTCAGGTTATTCACTGTATTTCCCAAAGGTGAACAAAAGAACACAGACAGCAGAATCCAGAACGTCTGTCCCCTGACAGCAGGCTAGCCTGGGCTTACTGGGAAAGAATAATCACCAGAAACCACTGACAGGTCGTGTCACCTTTCTTTCTGACCCTATTCATGATAAGATTTCAGTCATTCCAAGAGCTAAATATTGAGCCTTGCAGGGAAGAGCAGACAGCACTGTGTTCTTCAATAGCAAACTTTTGCTACAGCCTAGACAATGTTTCAACGAAACAAAACATGACCCACCTTCTGGTTTAGTATTCCCCATTTACACAAAGCTATTTAAAATGCTGGATGATGAATGTATAACCTCTAAGGGAAGGAGTGAGTAAAATGCAGGGTGGGGCGTATGAGTCTCAAATTTTTATCGCAATATCAACTCCACCAAATATAACGTACGCTGTGGATGATCAACTTCCGAAGCTCTTACAGGCTTTACAAACTTCCAAACAAACTTTTCACACGTGAATCGCCTCATTTAAATACGCAGCCTGTAAAATCAAATAGTCTTTGAAGTAGGAAGACATGATCAGAATTTGCCTTTTGATCTTTCCAAATTGCTTTAGCAAATAACAACCATGCCTGAAGTCTCTTCTGGAAAATTTTATTAGCAACAATGTTTACACCAGTCTTAGAAACCAAGGCTCTTTTATTATCACCGTTGAATAATCTTCCTGAAGCCTTACAAAGCGAGCTTAAGCTCCACAAATAGTGATGAATTTCAGGTAAGTTCAATTAATATCCCCATTCAAATGAGCTGTATTTTGCATTATTATTCAATCCTCTGTACATTACACATGTTAAAAAAACGAAAATGCTTTAACAGTACCTGCTGGATCCATGCAAAACTCAATCCCGTTCTTCTGATATACAAAACAAGTCATTGGATCTTGCATTAGCACCTAAAAATATGTGTTAATATAGATAGGAGGGCAGCTCACTCGTGAAAAACGATCATCTTCTACATTTTACTATAGGAGACCTAGAATTCATTGACTATAGTAACAGAATGCAGAAATTGGTTATGTTTGTTTTCAAGCAGTTTCTGTGTCAAAGACAAAAAGAGAACAGTTCCAGGTTCCACCTCCCAAACAGCATAGCTGATGAAATCAACAACCTATTTTTATGCAAATGTTTATGAATAAGCTCAGTCTTACACATGAAAAGTGGTATGATGTATAGGAGAAATAAAAGTGATGTGTAAGTATGAGCCAACACTTCCGTGGGGTACACTGGAGACACAAGACATGAGGAGAGGTTTTTACAAAGCAAATTCACACCCATGAATATGCAGTTAGTGCACCTTCTATTTGTTAAACACAGAATCTGGTCACCTTTAAGAGAAAAATAATGATGTAAGCAATTACCTGTGACCCTCTACCACTGCACCACTTCAACTTATTAGTAGAAGCAGAGGGGCAATGCTGCAAAAGAAGTTGAAATACAAAAGACTTAGGGTCAGGGGAATTGATGCTTCTTGCTTTTTAAGTCTTCTGCTGTTCAGAGATGTTTCAGCTTTTTATTTACAGAGGGAAGTTGTAAGGAGCTGCAATCACTTCTCAAAAGTCAAAGAAGAGCAGCATCCAGCAGAGAGTAGCTTCTTGCCTTTATCTCATTGTTTTTATCCTTTCTTTATGTTTTAATGGTTTATTATCACTCTCTAAATTACTGAACGTTTTCCTCTGATACTCTGAAATGGATTCAAAACATCAATCCATTAAGAAAAGGTAATCATACAAACTGGAAGAAGTGAGGTAGTGCTGTGGGGTCAAGTTTTAAAAAACACATTTAAGCACGCTTCACGTTGCATGTATACAAAAATTGTGCTTATGCAAATACACACTGATTAGCTCAGAAGTGAAACTTTGGGAAGACAGGTGTAGTCTGATCTTTTCAGCTACGCTTGAGTCTACTTTGGCACCTGCAATAAAGTGCTTTTAGTGATCTCCATCACACACCTACAGAAGGGTGCTCCAGACAACTACATAATTAGTACTGGAAACTAGTGCTGGTAAACACTGCTCAGAGTAGCATGGCCATTGGGCAAAGGTTTTTTGTTTTTTTTTTTTTCCTCCTCCCTCCCCCCTCCAAGGAACACTGCTTAAATCCTGTGGGCCAGATTCATGCATCCTTGCTCATCAATGTGCCTGGCTACCTTATCAAATATATCTGCTATTCGTACTAGCAAAGATGCATAAATGACTCACCAAACAGGAGCTGAAGCAGGCAGAAAATTCAGAGTTCAGATTCAACTGTTTTTTGCTCATCAGAAAAGGAAGATGCAAAGATGACTCAACGACACAACAGGTACTAAGGGACTGATCCATCTCACAAGTCAGCACAACAGAAGTGAATGGTTTGAAGCAGGCAAATAAAAAATAAAAACACACACTTATAATGAAGCCAACAGTCAGCTGGACAAAGCATCAATAGACTTGGAGGATATTTCATTCTTTGGGAACATTCACAGCTTTTGTAGAAGTGTTTTACACAGGCCAGAGACTCCAGAAGTGAAGAAACTGGATTACATACATTAGTTGTCCAGGAGGTCAGCAGACCTGGTTGTCCTGGACTTAAACTTGTACACTATCTATGAAGTACACTTCATAGATGTTAGTGAAGGTACACACCAGCTTGATAAAGCAGTAAGATGAGAATGAAATATTATATACATTCTCTACATTCATAAATTCTCTACAAAAAATATACATTGGCATTCTCTTGCTTCAAAAGTACTATGTTCCCCACCACCCTTGAAGTTTCACAGTGTTGACTTAAAAAACACCTTTCACACATCTATCACTTTCAAAGTATATGTCCCACTGTTTAAAACAAAAGTGAGTATCTCCTTTGCTTAAGTTACTGTACCAATCTATGTAAAAGGACCAGAAGTTTATGTCTGTGGTTTAGGAGTCAGGAAGCACGTTCAGCAGCAAAGCTGGAGTTAGATACATACTTCAGTTCTCTGAATTAGTATGTCATAACACTTTCCCCCTCCACACTTAATAACTGACACAACAGCACTGGGACATAGTAGTCACTTGTTACACTGCTTTTTCTCCTACAGACTTTTGAAATTAATACTTTATTATTTCATACAAGATAGTAAAAACAATAAAAACAATCCCACAAATTTTCTTAAAAATTAAAACTTAAAAACAAATCTTATCGGAAAAAAAAAAAACAAACTTGACAGTTAAAACCAAACTAACAAAACACTATATACACACTTCGAAGCAGAGGTTATGTTTTCCTGTTGGATATCAACAGGCACTCCTCATTCATCATCTGCAAGAAACTAGGTTAGGTCTCCATAGGCCACAGTCAGAGTTATTAGGTAAGTAAATATGCCACTGCTTCCGTGCCCTCCTTTTATTTCCTTGCTTCTTCGGTCTCATCTGGCTCTCTCTCTTGATGCTCTCTTTCCCACCTCATTTCTTTCAACTCTTGTCTGTATTTCCGTTCAATGAACCGTTTCTGATGGGCCATCTGGGGAAAGTTATCTGACACAAGGAAAAATATTTTATATTAATAAACAAACTGGCAACACAGAAAGCTTCTTCTTTTTTTTTTTTTAAAAAAAAAGCTTTTTTTTTTTAAAAAAAAGCTTTCATGAGATGAAGGATTGGAGGGGAATAATGTTATTACCATTTTTACTCATTTCTAATAATCCATAGAAACAAGTGCTCTCTGTCATAAGACTTTGGTTTCTTTATGATTTCTACACCTGTTTCTCCTGCAACAAACTACTGCCAAATCTAATACACTCACAAAAAAAAAAAATCTGGTATAGCAACATGGCCAGGTATTACTTAGATTTTTACATTCAGTTCCCTTAGCAACAAGTGGTCAGTACTGAAAAGTGAATGAGTCTACTGTCAGTGCTGTCAAGGTTTTTTTGCCTTGTTCTCACTCCAGGAAGCATAAGTCACTGGTTCCAAGCATTGTACAGGTGTTTCCATTATTATTTTAAATCATGCAGAATCCACTAGATGCCCCCACGTTATGGCAGGGTTCCTAATGGAAAAGTAATAGCGTGGCAGAATAGATTGCAGTAAAATCCATTCTTGAAAAAGTTAGCGCTTAGTTATGTGCCAGTACACAGGCTTAGCATAGTTTATGAGCATGGATGAGTGAAGACTGGATAAAATAGACTAGATGCAGCTGAGGTGATGGAGAAATAGCTAGGGGGTGGATACTTGTGATTTCAGACATTTGCTGCTTGGCTGGTACACAGGTACAGTAGTGAGAAATGAGGCTGTAAATCAGCTTATGCAATTGCTCTCTATTTAGTGCACATCTGGCAGAATACAGCATTTTCTGCATGATCAGGATGCTGACATTCATCTACCTACACTGTAGACAACTGCCTGGACCTGCATCTCCAGCCAGTCTGAATGCAAGAGGTGGCAGAGTGCATTGGAGTCTGCATCTGGCAGCAAGCCCTGCTGGGATCCTACCGCAACAGAGCTCTGGGATCAGCATTAGCTGCTTGTCTGTATCTGAGATGAATGCAAAAGGTTGCTACATTGACCTTTAAAGCCATAAGCAAGTCTGGAATATGTCTTAGCAAAGGATTGCTCTAGTTAGCTACCGCAAGAGAATTCAGCTGAGGTTCCTCAGGGAGAGGCCCTTTGGCACCAAGAGAGATGGAGGCTCTGGGTGGTTTTTCCCCCAGGAGAGCTTTTCTGTTCTTTCCAGGTCCCAGGCAACAAAGATGTTTTTCAGCTGAAGAACACAGTGTGGAAGGCACCTAATTTGCAGGAGTTTCTGGCAGAGCAGAATGACTTTATTGCTATGTTTTATTGGCTGGCGAAATTTGTGTCTTTTTATAACACTACAGGAATAAAAAGTTTCCTCATCAGTTATTCACAACTTCGGTATAGGAATGTATTCTTATTTAAAACAAAACGATCTAAACAAAAGCAAATTGTTTTTAAATTGTTGTTGTATTTAAAACTCCAGTGCTTTGTTTAATGGAGTTCTGGGAAATTTTGTTGCTCATGTGCACCATAAAATGAAAACTGTATTTTTGGCGTTGTGCCTGTAACATGATTCTTTAAGAACTCTGCAAAACTTAGCTTGGTAACAACCTGTTTATAGCCCATTTATGATGTGAAGAAATAAGTTTATATAATAAACTTATCACAACTACCATATATATAAACAGGTATGGGAAAATGACTTTTACGTGAAGTTAACTACTTATGCATTCATTAAAAAAGCACCCAAACCACTCCACAAATACACATACAAGAACAGGTGCCCATAAGGACTATGGAGCCTCCATCTCTCAGGAGGGTCAAAAACGGACTGCACAAGAACCTGAGAACATTATCTAACTGCAAAGTTGGGCTTGCTTTGAGGGGTAGCTGGAGCAGAGACCTGTAGAGATCTCTCCCTACCTACATTATTCTACAGTATCCAATCAAAAACATATCAGAAAAAAAGAGGTGAGAAGTCCTTACACGGATAGGAGATGAAGTTCACAGCTCTTTGAGAAGTGGTATTCTCACAAGGAAATACAAGGAAAACTTCATGAAGATTCTACAATTATTCACTAGAGAAGTTGTGCCTTATACTTGCCAAATTTACTGGTGAGGAGTCTACACCTAGCAAATGGATACAAAAAATTCTGGTACCCCTGGAATTACAGGGATTCATTGTCTTCTGGAAGTTTTAGGTCCTGGGATTTCCACATGCAGGGAACAGATTAAAACCCTTGGGCAACTGAAGAACTGCAGGCCTTTCAATCAAACATAAAATGTACTTTAGTCTTTCTGCTTAGAGAGCTTCTGCTGCACAAAATGCATGCCATTTATTTGCTTATGGTATTTGCACATCTGGCATTTTAACTCAGCCGAAGTTTTCATATAAGATGCCTGCATACGTTCACTCCTTTCATCTTAGATTCCATTGCAATGCGGGACTGCTCCCATGCTGGCTTTCCTGTGTGTAATTTTGAAAGGTGCAAAGATCACTGGATCCTCAGCTGATAGGAGCTGTTGTTAACAGCTTAGCATCAACTTACATTAGGTGGAGACCTACCTGTTAGATTTTAACCTCACCTGCTATAAAATTTGCAATCAAAATTTATTTTCCAAATTAGCAACTGAAAATTAATTTCCTCCTCCCCAAATTAGAGTATGAGGTAAGTCTGTTTGGTCTGACATTGAACTTATCCCATTGAGATTTTTTCCATGCTTGAATATGCTATGAAATTTCATTGTTTGTGGTTCCCTCTATCTCACATTTACTGTAACATACCAACTCCCTTTAAAAAAAACACCTATTGGTACCATTAACACCTGTTTTTACAACACAACCTTGCCTTGAAAGTACTGATAAGCAAACCTGTTGCTCAGAAGCTGACAGCATTCAACATAGCATTCAGCTGCTGTGTTCAGTTTTGCTTCTCCACATAACCTGCACCTCACTTTAGTAAAGTCCAAGGATGTAATCTAAAAATAATTTTCTTTGTTGCCCAAATATCTTACATTTTTCAAGTGCATCCATTGCAGCTCCCATTTCTGCTTGCTGAATACTGTGAAAACCAAACAAAAACATGTTAAATATAGAATCATAGTATCATTTAGGTTGGATAAGACCTCTAAGATCATCAAGTATATGATTTAACTTGTAAAGAATAAAAGTTATAAAGAATAAAGTTAGTGTTTGGTAGTAAAACTCTTTGGATAACCACTAGCCAGTAATTCCCAGAGTATATATCAGCCTTTCCATAAACATGTAAGCAACAGTACCACAGCTCCAGTGGAATATTTTTGAACTCTGACCAATAACACTAACAGAATATTCTACTACATTATTTACTGAAACATTTGTTTTGACCTGAGAGAAAATAGGAACAAAATTTGGTAGCGCAAAATGGGCTTACAGTTGAAGTCTTTGCAATTCTAGAAGCCAATCAAAAAACAACTAAAAATGGTAATATCAGAAAACAGTTAAGAGCCTTGCACCCCTACTTTGCCAGCTTAAGCTGAACAACAGTCTTGCAGTAAAGCCACAGATGAAGTTGCTATTTCCTGCAAGCTGTTCTGCAGTTTCCATTCTGAGAGCCACAAGTAGAGTATTATAGTGAGCCACCTTGTTCTTCAACGCTAAAGACCCCAAAGTATACCAACTTCAAACCCTTCAGGTATTCCCAAAGCAGAAACTCATAATGACTTGAGGAAGGCTCCACAGTTTTCATCTTCTAAGGCCAACCAGACTCTTAGCTATCTTTGTGGTTGGCCATTTTGGACACCGCCACAGTCAAACTTCGACAATATGCGATTAATTTTTTTATTATTTTTTTTTACTGTACCTTGGACCTTTACCACATCCTATTCTTTCCCCTTTGAAATAAACAGCTACTGTGTATGTCCTGGCATGAGATGGTCCCACTGTCTGTAGAGTCCTGAAATGAGAGACATGATTTATTCAGGCAGGAAGTATTAAAAAGCAGAACCTGTCAGTGGCACATACATCACCAAGCTCTCAGCCTGGTAAATACACTTAGTGGAACTAGCACATAGCAAGGAGCAAGAGTTGAACGATGGCTGTACAAGTTACGTTAACCCAGAGATTGCCAGGACAGTGCACATGCAATAAAAAGGAGCAATTTACATCAAATGCATCCCACTTATATCGAGTATACTTAATTCTTCCGGGTTCAGTCAAGGAGCGCTATAGGAAAATTAAAGCCTTAACCTATAGGCAAAAATGCACACTATGCATTTGTTTCAGCAAAGTGCTGAAACACTGAATACACTTGGAATAAAATCAGTTAAATTGCATGTGGCTGTGCAATTGCAAATAATCACACCAATATGATTGCATGCACTAAAATTTTAGTCCTTGAGAGTTGCACAGTTAGCAAGGACTTTATATTGAGCATAGTACACCTCTCCACATTGTGAATTATCACAGTAATTTTCCATCAGCTTTGAAAAGTTACAGTTTGTCACAAAAAAAACACCTTTCCATTTTAGCTAAAGTCTAGGACATGCATCAACAATCACCTCCTGTGGAAAAAGATAATTCCCTAGACATACAATGAGTGTTTCTTCTGCTGTCTCTTCTTCCTGTCCCAAATCTCTGCCTGCTGTCAGCTTGAGTGCTGTCCACTACCTTGTTTCTTTTTGGAAGTAGTACCAATTTCACATCAACATTTGAAGTATCTCTGTGTGCTCTGTAACTAGCATGAGCAAATAGAAGCAACCCCAAATTTAAAAGCAATACTTCTGACTGCACTGAAACAGAACCCCAAGAAAAGGTATTCAACCAGATAACAGTGAGATAACTAAGCTGTGCTACAGAAATCAATTTATCATCATAGCAAAACAAAACAAACATTTGTTATCTGATACCTAGTGGGTTTTTACAAGAATCAGACATCATTTATTTTGTATCTATCTCCCTCGCTCGAGATAAAGGTGAACCCTCACAGAGACCCTAAGGAGTCAGGTTTCCAGTGTATCAGTTACAGTGTTGAAACAATCCTATTTCTGCAGAGCACTGTTTCTCACTGAATCGCTACATTTCATTGAAAACTTCACCTCCATACATGCAACAAATGAAGACTCATTCTTCATGTCTTTTTTTATATAATAACAACACTAGCCTTGAACTTTTTTAGCCTCTCTTCTTTTGGGGGTTAACTTTGCACTCATCCCTGCATAATTAGGTGGATATGGATGCAGTATACAATCTTAAATTTCATTATTGCCTCCAAAGCAGCTAGTATGCTATTTTACAGCTCTTCACAAAAGAGAAGTAAGGCCCATCCCATCCAGCTTCAGGTACACAGGAAGACAGATACAGGGTGAATTGCACAGTGAGCGTCCAACAACTGTTACCCTTCAAATACATCCAGCTGTGGATTACCAGCAACCTACGATCAGGGCATGTATCAAGGCATCTATGTTTCCACAGGGATGTAGAGAAATTTCATACTACTGAAAAATAGAATGGAGGTATTTTGACTTCATATCCAAACACCTACTGTTCGATTCATTCCATATAAAATACTCATTCCTTACATTAAAGGAGAAACAAATACAGAATGATGCCAATGAAATATTCCATCAAACATACATCAAACGTAATGTTTTCCTCTCAAACTGTAAAAGATAAAAATGCTTTATAATTCTGTAATGGTTTAAAACATCTAAAACTTGTAAAAGAATAGTTCAACATTTTCCATTTTCAGACAGTGACTGGAGGGCTACGGGAAAAACAAGGTGAACAAATACATCTTCCTCCATATAAAATAAAGATTGATAATTAACTGGTAGCTGTAAGATGCTGGTTCTTACTTGTAAAGAGGAATGTCTGGTTCTTTTCCTTCAGTCCTGAGAGTCAAGCAGCATTGCTGAAGCTGAGATTTAGGGTCATTCCAATCTTGATTTAAAATGAACTCCTATAAGAAGTTCACAAAGAAGATTACAGTTGAGAGATTGTGATATGAGTCCAAAACACTGCATGTTAAAATTCAGTAGTGGTAGGAATGTAGGAAACTGACTGGCCTTACCTTTAGCCGTGGAAAAAAGCATACATTCATGAAAGTGTGAACATATTCCAAATCTTTATCAATGTATAGGGCAGCAATAAAGGCTGGGGAGAAAAAAAAAAAAAAGGTTCTGTCATTTATATCCACAGAGAATGTTAATGGCTTACACTTTTAGAAACAAATATTCCTGAGTACAGTAAAGACGTACTGAATTATGTTTCACAGCAGTGATCTGAGGAGGGTATTACTGTCTTGCACACACAGAAAAAAATAAAGTTGACCAAGAGGCTAAATGACTTACCCAAATCCACTCAGTCATTTAAAGACTTTCACATTTTAACCAGCAAGCCATGGCTACTTAGTAATAAATTGCTGCCGGGTACTATGAAAACATTTTATATCTAAATCACTACTGTTTGTGTGCAATTTCCATTTGCTAAGAGATCTTGGCAAAAGCCAAGGAAGTCTGAATGGCTCACAAAATATATCAAAATATACAAGATACAGATCAACTTTCTTTGCATAATATTGATCATTGTTTCCACTTCCTTTGGGGAAAAAAAAAAGTAGCACACGCTTTCATAAACAGACAAACAAATCATTTAATTTCTGTGTAACTTTCCTTCTTGTGGAATGGCCATTTTGAAACCTCCTAAAGTGTAGTTAAATGAACCACAAAAATACTCACCTCCTGATGGTACAATGCTCTTTCCATAGTTCTCATAGTACCAAGAACATACTATTGAAACATTGAAACTGCTGTTAAACAGCTTGACTTGGTGACAAGTTTGAACTTCCAAGACATTCTTTTGACCCAGTCACCATGACCATCATGGCCATCATTTGTAACCCTACAGTTTTGTATCTGCAATTACACCTTCCTCATACAGACTTCAAAAATATAGGCTAGTGTTCAAAAACTTGGTGCGCAGAGGTATAGTCATAATTTACTTGAAAAATTGAATATACATTTTTAATAATGATCTGAGCAATTTATGATGGCTTTTATAAATAAGCCCTGAGGATAAGAAAGTTGCATAATCACTAAGCTGTTATAACCACGCTAACTCACATTCCAAGAGATCAGCCAAAGTCTTAGTTCGAAGAGCTACAGGTCTTTTCGTCTTGTCATTAGTGATGGCAAACTCTTGCATTCCCAGCTCTTCTGCCACTTTGGCCTGTGTCCTGTTGTTCACCAAAGAACTTCTCAACAGCTGCAAGAGAAAGAAGTTCCACTCAATGGTAACAATTAGCGATGCTAAACTATAAAAGGTAGGACGAGCTGGGGGAAGGTTTGCTTTATTTTTTAATCCTTGCTGCCTCTCACTTCTCAGTCTGAGAATGTTTTAGCACACCTCAAATGATTTATGTACACATGCATTTTCTACCACTGATTCTTCCCTTCTCACCAGTTTATTCTCTAGATATATTCCTTCTATACATAAGTCTTGCATTTACAATGCTTTTTCTTGTGAGATTCTTTGCATTCATATGCCATCTCTTCATCAGTCCTATACTTCTTCAACTAACCTACATTCTTCTAGACCAGGTAACGCACAAAGTTGTACACAATTATTCTACATAAAGTATAAATGTATATTTTGAAGCCTATAGAACAGTCCCCATTGTCCACTACATTACATCAGTGTAATGTAACTTTGCTCTACTGAAGGCACTATAGCTGAACTGATGTATCCCTGATGAAAATCTGGCTCTAACATTTTCAACACATGACAATGTCCAGGACACCTGGTTTCCCAGCAGAGCTCCCTAAGAGCTTACTGACTCTAGGCAGATTGCTAAATTAGCAATCTAATCAGAACTCTGTCAAAGATACAACAATCTGGCACAGCCTAAAGAAGTATTTTGGTATTTCAGATTTTTGTTATATTTTCTGAACCCATGGTTAAGGTGAGTGTTGTGTTTGTGGATTTTAATTTTCTTCTTTAAATGAAACAGCATATTTTAATAAATTGGGGGATATTCTGAGGATATTCTGCCTCTCTTCCACTGCTTATATATAAACGAGAGCTGAGAAGCTGGATACAATGTTTTTACCTCTTTTGTCTTCCATATCACATTTGCACAGCTTATTAGATCCAAGTTATGTGCTACCTGGCTCCAGAACGTCAACTGAGCTTATGAAAATCAAGATTTATTCACTGCACTTGATACTTCATCTCTGACAACAGATAAATAAAGAACAATATGTTCATAATTTGTTTGGCAATGATGTATGAAGCAGATACTTGCAACTTGATCTTCATAAACTAGGCAGACTGCAGAAAGGATTACTACCAGCCCTCCTAACCTGTGCTTAAACTCATCTTCTACTTGTTCCTTTCCAAAAGCCTTTTTTTTTTTTTCCCATAAGATACTCTTCCTAACCAAATCCTAACTCCAACATGCAAACTATGAGACAGAAATGCAGTATCATGTGAGGAAAATCCATTTATTGCAATGGGAGAAGTAGGATTTCTTTTGCTGTATTTGCAGAGTCTTTATTTTGACAGGACCCACATCCACTATTAGCACTATCATAAGTGAGCCACATACAAACTACATAGCAAATTAGAGATGGCAAGAACCACTTACCCATTCACCACTGTGGTTCTCAACTTATGCCATAGTAAACCTTGCTTCTTTTATAAGTGGAATCTAGCAAGAAGGTCAATTCCTCTTTGCGATATAGTGAGGATCTCAATTCTAATCAAAACTGAGTTGGTTTTCTTCCACTTTCACGCAGCATACTGCTACCCATGGCTGTAGCATAAGTTAGCACTGGGGAAGTATCTTCCAGTAGCCAACAAAATTTCATTCTATTTTTTGGCAGATTATTTTGCTATCTCAAAACATGCATACAAGATTACATTCTCCTTTCCTCGTTCTTACACATACTTAATTTACAGACCTCTCTTCACAAGTCATCACACTGGGAAGCCACTGCATTGCCAGTCAAGTGGTATCTTTCCATCGTTTACCAACGTTGTCTTCAACAGACACCACCCATCTAATGCTCCATTATTATTTCCAAACATCTCAAGTCAAGAGGAGAAAGAACGCAGAGTTTGCTGTTTCTCTTCAGGTCCTGCATCAGTCTCCCTCCACCTCACAAGTCTCCTTTCATTTGCCCTCATATTTAAGAGACATTCAAAGACTATTTTATTTTCTACTGCATGCACATCCCCAGAATTTAAATTTTATTCTAGGCATTGCCTACCTCTGTGTCATAATGTATTTTCAGCATCCATTCCACTCTTTGTAGTTTCCCCTAAATCTTGGACAATGTGCAGCTTGTTCTACTTGCCAACTCACTTATCATTAAATTAAGCAACACAGTGATGTTCTGATCGTTGTTTTGAGTATTTATACCCATTAATAGCAACACTTTATGTCCTTCCTGCCAAATATTTTTGGAAGATTTATCTTACTATAACAACACTGATGCATACGTTCTTAAAAGTCACCTACAAAGGAAAACAACGCCAGTCTTGGATTTCTGCCTTATGCTTTTGTTTCTTCTGTAAAGAATTAATATGACAAGGTCCCTTTTAATTTTTACATCAGAAGTTCAGGCTTCATCAACTGCTTCTCCTGAATGGTGCAGAAGAATTCACACAACGTAAATGACACTTGAGAAATGGTGAGGGAAAATGAAAATGACTTAATTAGAGCACATACTTCATCTTTTTTTGTAAACACCTAAGTGGTATTTTCTTCAAAACGCACTGCCTGTCAGATACTTATCAGCACCATCCCTTCACTGATTTGCAAAATCCACTCTCAATAGCTAAGAAATCTATAGTGTTACTTTCTAATCTGAACTAGAGAACTTGACATATATTCTTAATACATGTATCACTTTTTTATTTCAATCATCAAGACTTGAAAACTAAGAAAAATTTAGCAAGCCTAAGAAAAACATCTTCCTCTCATACTGCCTAGCTGCAGTACTAAAGAAATCAGTCAATCAGGAAACCATTACATATATTACAACCCTACATCTAAAGTAATGTAAGTAACTGAAAGATCCCCAGACTAGGTTGTTCAGAGCATGAACAAGAAATGCTGAAAAGTTACCATAATCAGCAATAGCTGACTAACAATATTAAAACTAAATTCAGAAGTTATTATAGGGGCTCCAAATTAAAAGCAATAAGAAAACATCGTAAAATAGATTGTAAAAATTTCCTGTCTTGAAAGATAACCCTGCCTGGTTTTGGGTTCAAAGGGTTAGAAGTCATGAATAAAACCCATGTGATGTGCCTGTTTAAATAAATGGTTTGAAACACCTGTCATTAAACATGAACTAGTCTTATCTCCCAAGTTTGTAACTGACGTCCTTAAAATTATTGATCCATTTCACAGGCAACAAAAATTATTGCACTGGGCTCACAAATCACCGTTTCCTATTCATTGCAGAGCTCGTGACTTAAAATTAACAGTCTTATTAAGAGCAGTGGTTGCTCGGGCCTCTTTTATTAATCAAATCCAGAACAATTCACTAGCGGCTCCCGTAATTTCAGTCTGCATCCCACACTTGCTCTCTCAGAGCATGATTGATGGCAGTCTCACCGTTAAGTGCCCTTCATGATGATCAGGGAAATGTATGAATAAATACTCTGTGGCTACCAGCTGCATTATGGAGTCACCCAGGAATTCCATCCTCTGATTGTGGCCTCTGAAAAATGAGACATCAATGCAGCAAAATCAATAAGCACTCAGGAAGGAAAAAACAAAACCAGCATGCACACACAAATTAAAATAAAGAGTGATCTGAAAGTGAGCCTCACTCATTTTTGAATACACTTAAGACAAATTTCCAGAGTTAACTAGGTGAGATGAAAACACAACAAACAGTTGTAATACTGACTTTGAGCAGGAAAGCAAATCAAAGTAGCTACAGATAAACACGGTTTTTAGATCACAGATCTAGGACTAATTGAAGACCAGTTGAAATCAGGTTTGTGATGGGTTAAGGTCTCTACCTGTAGCTTCTTAAAAACAAGCAAACTATTGAATCACAGAATGCTTTGGGTTGGAAGGGATCCTTAAGGATCATCCAGTTCCAACCCCCCTGTCATGGGCAGGGACACCTCCCACCAGACCAGGTTGCCCAAAGCCTCATCCGACCTGGCCTTGAACACCTCCAGGGATGGGGCATCCACAGCTTCTCTGGGCAACCTGTGCCAGGGCCTCACCACTCATGAGTGAAGAATTCCTTCCTAATATCTAATCTAAATCTACCCTCTTTTAGTTTAAAGTCCTTTGTCCCATCACTACACCCCGTGATAGCTTTCCCTCTACATTCTCTCTCCAGCTTTCCGTAAGCCTCCTTTAGGTACTGGAAGGCCACAATAAGGTCTTCCCAGAGCCCTCTCTTCTCCAGGCTGAACAACCCCAACTCTCTGAGCCTATTTTTCATAGGAGAGGTGATCCAGCCCTTTGGTCATCCCCATGGCCCTCCTCTGGGCTCACTCCAACAGGTCCACATCCGTCTTACGTAATCTTATGTTAGGGGAGCCCAGAGCTGAATGCAGGATTCAAGGTAGGGTCTCACAAGAGCAGAGCAGAAAAATCCCCTCCCTCATCCTGCTGGCCACACTTTTTTTTGATGTATACAATGTACATAGATATGGTTGGCTTTCTAGGCTTAAGTGCACATTGCTGGCTCATGTTGATCTTCTGACCAACCATCACCCCCAGGTCCTTCTTCTCAGGGCTGCTCTCAATCCATTCTCTGCCCAGCCTGTATTTGTGCTTTGGATTGCCTCAACCCAGATGCAGGACCTTGCACTTGGCCTTCTTGAACTCTATGAGATTCACACAGGCCCACTTCTCAAGCCTGCTAGGTCCCTCTGGATGGCATCCCTTCCCTCCAACATACTGACTGTACCACACAGCTTGGTGTCATCAGCACACTTGCTGAGGGTGCACTCAATCCCACTGTGCACGTAGCTAACAAAGATATTAAATGCTGCCAGTCCCAGTATCGACCCTTGAGGATTGCCACTCACTGGTCTCCACCTGGACACTGAACTGCTGACTGCAACACTGAGTGTGACCACACAAACTATTCCTTATCCACTGAGTGGTCTGTTCACCAAATCCATTTCTCTCCAATTCAGAGACAAGGATGTTGTGTGGGACTGTCAAATGCTTTGCACAAGTCCAGGCAGATGACATCAACTGCTCTTCCCTTACCCACCAATGCTGTAACCCCATCACAGAAGGCCACATGTCAGGCACGATTTGCCCTTAGTGAAGCCACGCTGGTTGTCACCAGTCACCTCCTTATTCTACATCCTTAGCATAGTTTCCAGGAGGATCTGCTCCATGATCTTACCGGGTATGGAGGGAGACCGACTGGCCTGTAGCTCCCCAGGTCTTACTTTTTTTTTTTTTTTTTCCTTTTTAAAAATGTGTTTCCCCTCTTCCAGTCAGTAGGAACTTCAGATTGCCATGACTTCTCGAATACAACAGACAGTGGCTTAGCAGCTTCATCTGCCAGTTCCCTCAGGACCAGCGGATGAACCTCATCTGGTCCCATGGACTTGTGTACCTTCAGGTTCCTTAGATGGTCTTGAACCTGATCTTCTCCTACAGTGGGCTATACTTGCAGTGATTTCAATAGAGAAAGATCTGTCCATTCACAAGAAATAAAAGGATCAGGGTTTACACCCATGTTCGATCCTGGACTGGATATGCACTGGTACAATACTATTTTCTTTATTACATGGTCTGGCAGCTCTAGTCAGAGACCGAAGCCTACTGTGTGTTTAAGTGCTGTACACACAATATAACACAAGGGCTGTAGCTGGACCAAAAAAACATGACTTTTTTCCTCTGTCCAGATGTACCTTCAGGAGTGTTTTGCTACAGTGTCAAGAAAGTTGTCCCAAAGTCAGATGAAGGAAGCTCAGAAGATACACCAGGATGGTTCTTTAACACACGTAATTCCCAAGTTATCCACTATTGACTACTGTCAGAGACAGGACACCAAGACAGTCAGGCTGACAAACATAGCTATTCTCTCTTCTGAAGAAGAGATAGAACATCTAGAGTTTGTTTGCAAACAAAGTAATTTGGGATATTAACAGCAGGGCCAACAGAGCTATACAAGGACACTTGCCGCATACTCACAGAGTCAGATGGTTAAAGCCTACTGTCCTCAGAGTGAATGCACGTGCTAGAAGCCGAACGTGAGTAAAGATGACTCCAATTGCCTCCTCAAACTCCGTAAGCTTTTGAAGAACTGGAGATGTCTCAATGAGTTGCCTGTCAGTATTAGACTCCTGCAGCTGTAAATAAAATGAAGAGTGAGTAAAGACAAACTGGTACTATTTCAGAACTTTTCAGAAAAAAGAAAACATTCTGTAAACCAAGGGCAAAGAACACATTGAACAAGTCATTTTGTGGAGAGCAGAACTGAGAAATTCCGGTTTCCTCTGGCTTTTTTTCTTGGATATTTGCTATGCAAAGAAAACGTGAGGTCTGATGAATGCGTTTTTGCTTTTTTTTTCTTTTAAAAACACTTAAGGTGTTTATAACACATTGCTTATATGGTCTTGTCTCACGTCAATAGCACGTGCTACTTATCTTCATAAAATGTATAAAATTGTGTCAGATCTCTGATGTTAAGAAATTGCAATTGAACAACAAATTCAAAAATTAATAGAATATGGCTGTCACACCACGCATCAAGATGAGAAAACACTAATCTATTTCTCTCACTCGAGTATCAAAAATGAAGAACACTTCTTATACAAAATTCATAAGGACACAATAACATCAGAAAATTAAAACGATCACTTAGGTCAGTATCTGTCTTATCAGTTTCTTGTCTAACATCTTTGACGTAGGGACACTAAAATGACTTTCTGGAGTTGGAAAATGACTTAGGCAATTTCTCCAGTCACTCTGGGCATTTGTCCTGTATAACAACGTCTAAGAGAAGGCATCCAAATGATGCCTAAAGGAAAAGCAATAATAATGCAAGTATATTAAGGACTTTCCTGATAACTATTTAATCCTCCAACTATCAGTAGACTGCCCAAGTTCTATGCTGTTTAGGTATACTTAGTAACCCACAATGGGTTGTGCAAGTCCTCTTCCACTAGCTTGACCCATTGTCACATACAAGCTTTCAGTATCCACAGAAATGTTCATCAACAAGTTCCACAAATCAGCAGGTTTGGTTTTTTTTGTTTTGTTTTTGTTTTTTGTTTTTTGTTTTTTTCCCTGAAGAACCAGATTGGTTCAAACTTGGGTCTCAAGTTTTCTTTTTGATTATTCCTATGGCTTATACTGGAACAGGCAATTGGTTAACTGTTTGTCTACTTATGTTTTGGACATGTCTGTTCCAGGCCTTGCCTTCCTATCTGGCCCCATCCCTGGAGGTGCTCAAGGCCAGGCTGGACGGGGCATTGAACAACCTGGTCTGGTGGGAGGTGTCCCTGCCCATGGCAGGGGGATGGAACCGGGTGATCTTTTAAGGTTCCTTCCAACCCAAACCATTCTGTGATCACCTATTTTCCAGCCTGAAGGTCACTAACTTACTTGCTTTCCTTCCATCACTAACTTACTTGCTTTTTTGTTTATTCTGTCCTTTTTCTATTAATTGATAATCTTCAGTTGGTCTTTTTTGAAACACTGAGCTTTCTTCCTATGTCTTCACAAGGCTACATATCCCAGCACTAAAATCCCCTTTTTGATGATTATGGTCAGTTTGGAGTTCAGTTGCGTGTGGAGCTGGGACTGTTTTTTTTGCTTCCTTATGTGAAGCCCTTTATACTTACCTACATGGTATTTTGTTCTTTTTCACTTCATAGCTATTCACTCTTGAATTCTCACTGTCAGACTGCAATTCTTCAGCCTCCTGTTGTCCCTGCAACCCTGAATAATTTGGTGTTGTCAAACTGCCACCTCACTGCTCCACCTCCTCCCTAAGGTGGAGATGTGAACAGCCTGTATTTCAGCAAAGATACCTAGGGAAATCCACTGATGATCTCCAATCCCTGTAAGATGTGGAGATTTCTACTCCTTCTGTTTCTTATGTTTCAGCTATTTCTTTAAATCTTTGTAGGACTGACAATATTCACTTTTTTGTTGTTTTGTTTCTTGTTCCATTTTACTTAATGTATATTTTTTTTAATCATATTTTCCACTGATTTGACTAAATCAAATGACAGGGTTACAGACCTTCCAGTTCTCTACATCTCACCCAGAGCTATTATTGTTTATTTTAAATCAGAACCTAATTTGCCATATTGTTAGAGACGCTTAATAAAAAATTAAATTGCCACTTGTCAGGCTAGCTGTACCCAAGGTGCAACTTAGGAGACCTGTGCCTCCCCTTCCTGGCAAGCAGAGAGCTAGGACAGCTTCTGAGACATGGAAGAAAGAACACTTTCATCAGAGCAGTCAGGATAGGGGTAACAAGTGACAAGCATATATAGTCTCCAATATCATACACAGATAGACAGAACGGAGATTATCTAGCAGCATATATAGTCACCAGCTCTATAAGCAGAGTCCAAGCCTTCTCTATGAAAACAGAGACAAAGGATAAAAAATAAAATCAAAAATAAAGAAATTCAGAATGAAACTTTTCTTGGGAACTTGTGCCACCACTGAGGACAGTTGGTGCTGAATTGTGAAAGATCTTCCCACCAACATTCTTTTCTGTTTAGTTCTGTCTTACACCCACAAAGAATTGGTTTTAAAATGCTTCAGGTGCATTGATTTGTTGCTGAAGATTTTGCCTAAGTAACCATTGCAAAAATCTGTAAATCTGTCTGCAACATTTCAGATGGAAGCCTCAAAGTGACCTGCTGAAGGGTGTGCTCACAAGGAAGTTTCAAAGGAGTCAAACTGACTGCACAAAACATCAGAGATTTGGTTGGACAAAAGAAACACTCTTAGATGTTTGTATGATCCTGAAAACCTTACTGACTGCATCACAACTTGGATACGGCTATCCTTGCAGCACTCCTGCACCCTTGGAAGACATTAAGATAGGAAGCTACGATGCAGTTCTCTCAGCTTCCAAACTTGTAAACTAACCACTGGTGGACCTCACAAATACATAAAAGAAAAATTAGTTTTCAGAAACCTTCATACTTTCAGTGTTCAGCTATTAAAGCTACAACAGCCATTGAAGTAACCATGCTGTCATTGAACAACAACAAAAATCAGCATCACACTCTTAGGCCATTTAACTAATGTGACTTTCAACTATTAAAGTTCCAGTCTTAATTTCAGGTTAAGAAAACAAGTACAAGGACTGTTTTTGTAACCTTTCCCTGCCCCTAGGTTCCAGAAGATAACAGGAAGATGCCAGAACATTACCTCTCACTAGATTTATCATATGAAAAGCACAGTTATATATCAAACATGAGCCAAAGAAAGGTGAATGATTAATCCTGAGAGAGGCATAGATTCATTATTTATCAAAAAATCAAAGGCAAATACATACACTCCTCTGGCTACTTTTTAGAAAATTTTCTGAGATGTCACTACAGTGGAAACCTATGGAAAAGCATCCTTAGAAATAAAACAGCTATGAAATTTATTACAGAAAGGGATACACTTACTTGGAGTGGGTGCAGTGGATAATTAAGCCATACATCCCGCAGGTCCTGCAAACATTGAGAGATGCCTTTAATGCTCAAGGGAGTCATTTAACAAATTCCATAGTACTAAATAAAATGTCATTACTTGAAATACTGAACTATTTCAGATGCTGACTCTGCTTATTGCAAATTCAATAGTGCTGGCAAACTAATTTTTAAAATCGTGTATTTGCTGTTCAAACTGCCTGTAGTTCTCCCAATTAGCTTGTGTCAAAGAGGTGGAAAAATCCTTGAACCATATAGAAAGTGGTTAAAGGGAAAAAGATTTTTTTAGGCCTCAGGTCTAACTTTATTTGCACTCCTCAGTAGCAAGTTTGATTTAACCAAAAGTGAGAACTAAAATGAAGAAAAACCTTGTACTCTTGCTTTTCACACAGGTTTCCTTCATTATTTGCTGCCTGGTGCCTGTAAGCATGAGTGACAATAGGCTTCAAAATACTTCTATTTCTAATAAACTTTGTCATTTCACAGACTCAGACTTTCAGGATGGAGAAGACTGATTCATCCCATAACTACTGCTACATGTATTGTCCCAGCAGAACGTACTGGTTACCTTTCTTAGCCATTATATGGGATAAAAGCTAACTAACTGCGATCTAGGATAAAATATGTAGGAATGGATCAGACTAATTAAGCAATTTGGTAAATGTTGGATGAAATTCCCTGTAATCTGTTAAGGTTTCTACAACTTCTGGGGGTTCTATGATACTACAACTTATGATACAGCAACAGTCACTTGACACGTGCATACTTTCGCCAATGCACGCCATCTGGACCCACAGCACCTACCTCTTGTCAGAGTAACACTCTGCATGGAAGCCTGCAGGTTTCCCACACCACACTCCCTTCCCTACCTAATCCAACCAACAAACAGCACACCTGAGTGAACACCATAATTTTTTTTTGCCTGAACCAATGCTTTCTTAAACATGCTATGTTACATTCAGTTTCCAGGAATTAAGTACCACAGGTGTCTTCCTGTTCATTTGTGATTCTCAAGTAAAACAATGGGCAAGGAGACATGTTCTGAGATGTCTTCAGTTATTTTCTAAAATGTAAGGCAAATCAATAATACATAAATACCTTGTCATTGAAGAGCAAACGTCCAAATAATTGTTTGGCCTCTTCTAGGCTCCCTTCTAGATAAACAGCTCCTACATGAATAAAACAGTTTGTTCAAGTGCAACAACACATTAGTTCTTAGAAGTTTACTAAGTACAAGTTACTCAAAGATCTCCGCTGCCTTTACTTCCAATAAATTTATTTAAAAGCACGCTGTGTTAATAATCAAAATAGAATATCCGTTTTTGAGAAATCTAAAGCACATTAAACATGAGCATAAATCAACGGTTGTAAAATGCACAGAAAAAGCTGACACTTAATTCAGTGACAGAAAATGACACACCCAATAAGCAAAGTTTAAGCAAATTAGGCTAGAAGCAATCTATTTCTAGAAGTAGTTTCCAGTTTTCCAGCAATCTATACCGTATATATATTCAATAACTGTCACTGTCTACATTTTAATAGCCAACAGATAGTTTACATTTATTCTGCACTTTCAACATTATATTCTGCATATAAATGTCAGAACTATTTCAAACCTCAGTGCCTCCTTAGCATTATAACATTATCTCCCTTAACTGCAACTCTCTCTATTTCTAGAGATTAGTTGTACAAATATATATATTTTAACTGCATATGCAGCCCTCACTAGCCCTCCACCTGCCCATTAGTAACAAATTGCAAAATCTGTGTAAGGCTTTTGGTATACCAAAAAAAATCTGTATTAAAAAAAAAATCTGTATTAGGCTTTTGGTATACCATATGCACTCTGTCTGCACAGGCACTTTTAAAATTCAATATCAGCACTTTGTTCCTTGATTATCTTTATAGAAAAGCTTCTGAAAACCTCAAGTTAGTCCTCGTACACACATCTGTATAAAAGCAAAGGGAATACACAGCTACATGAAGAGCACAGAGCAAGGGAGTCAATGTTCCCACATAAAGGGAGAACACTCTGCATTGCTCTGCTTCCACCCCCACCCCCCTTTTTAATGCTCTCAGGTCAACTACTTTCTTTGGACTCTTTGGAGAATGGTTTTGGGGTTTATAAGAGCATCTTGCCAGAGGCATGTTGACAGCACTGAATTTTAAGCAGGTCCTAGGCAGTCTGCTTACAGTTTTGCTTATTATTTTCATCACAGGGAAAAAACACCAGACTTCTAGAAGGGTTCTCAAATAGGAGCTCCAGAGCCCACATACATTTTTACAGTCCCTTTACAAGTTCCCAGATTTTAGCTATGGCCCTGACAATGCCTTACTGCTCAATTAACTTCATGAACAACTTGATATTGGATTTAAACAGCAATCCTGCTCTCAGAAAATCTCAGTGCCTGCCAAATAGTCCTCATCACCATATCCCAGACAGGCTGAAGTATACAAATGAAGCCACAGATACATATCTAGTATTCCTCTCCTTTTTTAAATTAATTTTTTATTATTTATTTTTAAAGATCAAAACACTCAAAGAAAGCAAAATAGAGTTAGAAACACAACTCCTGTTTCTTGATAAGATGAAATGCAATTTGGCCCAAGGCAGAACACACAGAACTTGCCATCTAAGCCAGCTGTGATCTGTTTTTTCAAAGCAGAACAAAGAGCTTTAGGATCCTGTATGGAATATAAAGACCTGGAACACGGCTTTTTCTATAGTTCATATCACATACAGCACATTTGTATGAATATGAAGACAAATCAGTGAAGTTTAAATTGTTTCATGTATTCAAACTAAGATTTAGAAAATGATGCTATTTAAAATGGAGTTCATATGGATGTAATGGTTCAGACTTCCTCCTTTCTGCTTGCTGATTTTGGTAACTGTTGTCAGGTCTTCCTGACCTCTCCCACGTAAACTTATTCACTAGCAGAACCAGTCACTGATCAGCATGCTAGTGCCCAGCAGCAAAATTGACACAGCTTCCCTTTATCCTCAGCCAGCGAGTTTTGGGAGCTTTATGACATAAGTCATGGCATATTGCCATGCCTTTTTTTTTTATTATTACTTGTAAGGAAAATAAAAAGACCAAAAAAGATTTACTTGGCAAATGTCACATTTAACCCACAGGAGAATATCACCTGGGCAGAGAGGAAGTGGGCTGGTGCACTCTGAAAGCAAGTCGCAGATGAAAATTCAGGGCTGACATGGGACCCCCCATTCCTATTGGAAGCAGTGAGCCTCCAATTTTCTTGCCAGGCCACGGTGAACAAGCTGCTCCAGCCCAGAGGACTGCATGTGGCAGGCCACAGCATGCATGAGGAGTAAAATCCTCCAGCGATGGGTAGAAGTGCCATACCACAATGTGAAACAGGTGCAAGATTTTTCATTGTAAGGCTGCATATTCATCATGTCATACACATGGAGCATGTACAGGAAATGGGAAGAAACAGCGGAAAATGAATAAGCTTTATCACCTACTCTTAGTAGCACTACTCAGCACAGACCTATGTGCTATGCGGACATTAAAACACAGCTGTTTGTGCATACACAAACACACGTGGTTTACCTATCAGGGCTTCAAAGCAGTTGGCCATGGCGTGGCGGAGATCCGATTCCCTGCAAAGGTCTGGACCATGTGCATAAAGCATGAATCGATCTAGTTCCAGCTTCTGCAGAATGTGAAAAGAGTTAAAGCCATGGTTATAGAAGTACAAGTTCTAGTCACTAGAACTCAATTACACCACTGCGATGCAGCAACTGGATTTGAGGGAACGTTAAAGCTGTTTTCCACAGTTTCAGTTCAGACATCGGCTTTAAGTTTAAAATTAGAACACTTTAATTGTTTTCTAGAGGCAAGCAGCTACAGTGTAATACTGTGGTAAAGCTGGGAATTATCAAACCAAAGATTCAAGGGAAGACAGATCAAAATAACTTATTAGTTAAATTTAGGAAGGAATTCAAGAGGAGGGCTGAGGGTGTGACAGAAAAACAGCCTGCTATCAGATGGATGTAACAGCGTGCCCTGTCTCTTGCTGGTAGTTTGCACTCATGTGCTTCGCCTTCAGAAATGCTGAAGCAGCAATCAAAGGGAGGGGAGTTAACGCTGAGGAAAAAGATTACTCCTACGAGAAGAGAACAAAGCAAGACAGTGAGTTACAGGAACTCTGACAGACACAATCCAGTAAACATCTGACTTTATCCTTTATGAGTTTCAACAGGTGGCAATACCAAAAGCCTCTGCGCACTGAAAGCAGAACTGATATTTTAATCTGCAGTGCCACCTAGCTTTTTTCTCCCTTTCAACTGTGAGTCATTAACATTCATTTTTCCTAAGCCATATTTCTGCTTGCCAGTCAGAACTTAAGGTAGTGAGTCAGATGCATCATATAATGTATGATAATTCTGCTATAGAAATGCAGGCAAGAGCTACTAGGTTCTCTTTTTCTATTCATCTTTTTGACACAAAACCATTATTGAGATTTTTAAGGAAGAAATTTGCACATCTTGCAAAATTTGTATGAGAATAGGTTCTTCCCAAATGGGCGTAAGTTGCTACTGACCAATTTCTCATTAACTTTCAACTTCATCTTCCCAGAGTATATTTAAGAGCTAAAAGTAGAGAAACTAAGGTATTTGAGATGTGAGGCTCAGACATCTCAATTTGAAAAAAGGAGTCTTCCATTTTCAATGTGTGAGAACATATTCACAGCTCCAGAACAAAGGACAATACCACTTACCACTTTATCCAGTGCAGGGAACACTCATTAGTTAACATCAAAGTGGAATATTGTTTTACTACAAATTTAAACTAGATTTTTTTCATTTGTTTGCATTAACTCTTTTCTCCAGTGTCTTAGCTTCATTTTCATTGCTTGCATTCAGAATATTTTGCATATGCTTTACATCTCATTTCTGATCAAGACATGGCTTAGACTGTTTTTAAAACTGCTGCCACATTATCTCTTAGAAGCCACAGAAATTTATCCTTTGATCCTCAATTAAAACAGCATTCCACATGCCCAAGAGAACTGAAGGAGTTGAGAAATTTTTTGAGAAAGTAAACTGCGTGCAACACGGCACTGCATGGGGTTAATTAATGGGCATGAAACCAGGATGGTCATATAAGATATACAAGAGGAAAAAAGGGTAAGTTAGGAAATCAGGAATGTATAGATATCTAGTACTTACTGTTCTATCTAATAGAGTTTAAAAAATGTTGCAATAAATTTTCGAAGATCGTTCATTTAGAATAGTAAGTATAGTGGAAAGAGCTGGAAGAATATATAAACTTACCTGATTCAGACTTTAAAAAATAAAGTAAATTCAGCGTCAGACAGTTCAATATCGTATTTAAAAACAAAGCCCCAGTTGAAATGTTTTTCAATCAATTCATGCCTATCTAAATCATTAAAGAAAGCTTTGGAGGAAAATGATTTTGTTCATTCCCTACCCTACACTTCTCCAGAGGATTCAGCAAAAAGGCATGTTAGAAATCATGCAGTTTTTGCCAAAATCTCAAGACTGTATATGCTTGTTTAAATTATCGCATGAGTATGAACAGACAAGATTAAGAGAGACTTGAAAATCATCAGCAATACACAGTGGGGTGGTCGTGGGAGATGCATGCGCATGTGCATGGCCTAATACATTATATTGGCAAGCCTCAGACTGTTTTTTTTAAAAAATATGTTAACAATCAAATCTGAATAAGGGAATACCAAATTATCTATGAACATAGATTTAATGAGCTTTGTATATCATATTCCCACCTCCAGTATCACGCAGGAATACAAAAAGCTCCTGTCATTCACAGAATTAAATAAAATAAAAATCAGAGGCATCTCAATTTTTCCCATGATGTAATGCTACTTTTCACCAAAAGACTTCTTAACATTTTGCTCTTTCACAGTTCACAGCAAGTTTGAAGGTAACTGCTTAGGTTAGGGAGTGGATGAAACAAACTCCCCTACCACCACCCCTCCACTGTCTCTACAGCCTGCTGCCATCTTCTACCTGAATGCTCCATCACACAGTCCCTTTAAAGTCAACCAATTTTACTTCCCTTCTATTATCAATCTCAATATCTATGTTATTTAAAGTTAAATATAGAGGCACCTTCACCATAAGCATCCTAAAAACCTAATCTTCTGCTGGCAAAAATGACCCAACTATTCTTCTTAAAAACCTGCTCTGGAGGTAACACTAAGCCCTATTTCATCTCTAAAATAACTTACAAATTAAAAAAAGCTCCTGTACCCTAAATTCTGTGCACAAAACATGATAAAGGCTGATGTTTGAAGCAGACAGATCCCTCAAGAAGCTACTCATGCACTATTAGTCTCACACATGGGTTTCAGCTGCAGACACATAAAGCATAGGGGTGTACCTTAGCCAGCATGGCCAGATGTTGGTTCTGAACGATGGCAGTGCGGTATGTAGCTAGTCCTCCTTCCTCCAGAGTGGGAAACAGGTAGTACAAGTGGACACTGGCAAAACAAAATGAAGATGGTGTCAGCATTTGGTTAAAGATGAACTGATGTACACCTCTATGGAAGACTGCTTTCCCATCAGATCCTAGCTGGTAATGGGTCCCTTCCCAAGGCAGAAGATCAGTTTGAAGGTAAAGAAACAATCAAAGATTAAAACAGTTCTCAATAATATTGTCTGGGTAGCACAGGAAGCAGGGGAGAATGAGTGCTGCTTCTTTACTGGGCAGCACATAATTTCTAAACCCCTGCAGTGACAGGCAGTTCCCTCATCTGAAGGCATCTACCAACAACAAAGGTGTTACCTGGAGGATGCTGAGCAATAAAAGCAGGGGAGAACCATCTGGCTTGAACTCTGTGCCACAGGTACACCACAGTGCTTTACGATGATATTATTCAGCCTGGACCACCACTTGGGATTTATTTAGTTTTTTAATTAATTAACTTATTTATTTTTACAGTACTTTAGAAAATAATTGCTCTTAAATGCCAATAAAAATAGTCTGTTTAAAAACAACATTACCAAACAGATGCTAACAGAGCCAAAGAACAGGAATCAACAGTCTGTATTTATCAAATGCGTGAAGTCATTAATACCACAAACAGAGAGAAAATGAGTTAAAGTCACAGGCTTTCAACTGCTGGTAATGATATTTATAATCGTGAAAGTAATATACTTTATTAGTAAACAAGAATTCAATGAGACAACCAAGACTTGAGTAAAGGATAAATGACACTGACTAGCTCTATATGGCTATCGAACCTACATCAAGAAAAGCTGAAGAGGGTTTTCAGAACCCCACAACTGGATTGCACTGGTAAGAGAGTGCTAATTATTAAAATACTTTTTAATCCACCACTAAGGGGAAAAATCTGCAGGTGGAACAGGATTTAAGAACGAGAGTTGCTATACAACTTAGAGGCAATCTAATCAAGGATCATAATTCACAAAAGCAGAAGCCTGAAGTTGAGTTGGGAAAAAAGCTTCAGATTTAAATAGGTGTTTACATGCTTTATTGAACAGAAACATAGCAGAGTTTTTTTCTTAATTGAGACAAAAGTTAGCTCAGAAAGTCAAGTGATGGTTGATGAACAATGACAATGAAAAATGCAAGACAATTTATTCAGCAAGTCTTCCATCTTACCAGCAAGTATTGTTCTATAGGAGAAAAGGCCATGGGTTTTAAGGGCAGTGGAGACCTTTACAGACTAATAGCTTTTAATACTGAGTAGCTAATTGGCAGTAGAGGCTAGCAGTGAATGGAGATAGGGGCAATTTTGTTATTTGTATCAAACTTACTGTAAAGTTTTTCTTTATACAAGACTATTCTCCCATTAACAGTGGTAAAAGAAAGCAGTGAAAATGGATAATCCTTGTTTCATGGAAATTGGCTACCACCAGTGCCCACTAAGAGAACCCAGTGAAGGTAGCTTTTACAATATTTTTGTGTTCACTAATTTCAGAGTACTTGAAATGGATCAAAACTGGAGCTGTTCTGATGAAGCACCATTTCTTGCTTTTAGTTCTAATAATTTAGATTTGTCGTCAACAATTTTATTTCTATACAGACTCTATGCAAGATATAGCCCTCATTGCTGGAAATTAAGAGCTGCAACACATTCAATATTACCAATTAGTGTTTTTCACTGGCAGCTAGAGAAAAGGAACCTATGGAAACAAAATGGCATGCTAATAAAAATCTTTCCTGTAAAAAATGGATACAAAGTTCAATTTGACTGTTGCTGAAATATTATTTTCCAAAAACTCCAATCAACTTTAAATCACACTCAGTAAAACAAACTCTAGTTTCTCAGCAGCAGCATGAGAAGAATTTTCAAGAGGCATGTGCAGATGTGCAGCTTGAAATATCAGGGGCAGGACTGCAAACACAGGTGGTGAACATACACTGCAAAGCCTCATAAGCCAAATGGTATGAGAATAACATACAACAATGAGGGCTATTGAAGAATTCCCTGTTTACCTTGTTAAGAATTCTACCACAGCATCTCCCAGAAATTCTAAACGCTCGTTGTGGTTAATCCTGAAAAAGACAATTTAAGGTTTACTATTAAATAGCACATGCATGTAACTTACACAGTACATTTGGAACATTTATGAGTTGCTTGCTAATCTGACATGAATAGCCATTTCTGCAGCCTTCCCCACCCTCTCTGGAGCATGAGGGTACAAAAACAGAGTAACTACACAAATCTTAAAACTCACGAGTGACACTCTTTGAAATTTCTGTGTGTTCCATTCTGAGCTACTGTCAGAGCACAATAAATGCATAGAGGAAACTGTTGTTGACTGGCACTGTGTAAAGCCCTACTGAGACTGGGTTTCTTTGTTCATAACAGGACATCAGGTGGTTGAAACAAATGACCACCTTCTGCCTTTAGTGGGTAACTAGGGCAGTGTACGTAATTAACACCAACACCTGCAGGGTACGGTGATTCTGCAAGACTTGTTGGTATGGGAGAGCTACAATGGAGCAAGTACCTTCATTTTTCATGGCACCTTTAAATACCAGACAGACACGCAGACTGTTTTCTGTAATTTCATTTGAGCTCAAAACAAAGAATTGCTGAGCAAGATACATTCCAAGATACCGTAAAGTTCTACACACTTTATATTCAGTGATTTCTTGTGATTGCTCCCAGTTTCCCTTTGTTTTGCATAAAGTTTCATTTCCCCCTGAACTCTCTGCCTGTTTATAAAACAAAGGACTAACAGGACACAGGGATTGCAAAGGAATGTGAGTTTGTCTTTAAATATATACAAACTTCTGCTCTACACCTCTAAGCATGTAATTAGCACCTTTTGATTTCACATGTGGATGTAACAGAATTAAGGCCATAGCCACAGGATGGTTTTGTATCCAAAAGATCTTTTGAGTGTTTGACAGCTTTTATGATAATTTGCATTCCCTCAACGATTATATGACTTTTGTTCATGCAGACCTTTGTTATGGGCTGAAAGAATTCAAGTACCTATGCTGTGTAGAACAATGAAGTGATGAATACAGGAACTCTGCTGTGTAGTGACATAGCAGAAAATACAGGTCTTTCAAAGGCAGGATTTTATTTTGTGGATTATTTAATGCGAATGCAATTTAGCCTTATCTCACATTGTTTTACAGAGGCTGAAATAATCTTGAGATTGACTCTCAAAGAAAAGGGCACAGTCTAGCTGAAACAGCATTCGGGGAACACTACAACAATCATTTATTCAGAATTCAACTACTTCTGCTCCCTAGCTTCCTCCAGAGTGATGGCTCTCAAAAGGCCCAGTCATAACCACAGGTTAACCAATACACCCCATCCTCTAGTTCAGGCAGTAAGGAGACTTCACATGTAACTGTTTCTTGCATTATCCCTATCAGCTTTGTTTGCTCAGTTTGGCTACATCTGGTGTCTGTAGCTATTAAGCTCAAACACTTTTTTGCGCAGAACTCTTAGTGGTTATTTAAACTATTGGTTAAACTAGTGGTTATTTATACTATACAACTGTAATGATTCAGCTTTTTGTCCTCAGCTGTTTATGCGTCTCTCTTTAAACTGGACCAGTATACCAGCAAAGCCCATATTTGAGATCATACTTGTGTTAACAAGGTGCCATGCCAGGAAAAGTACTGCTACAAGGAAAGGTGATGGAGAATCCAATTTACAGCAATGATAACAGTAACAGAACTTATTTTTCATCATGCAGAAAGCAAAAGGTAGCATTTTCGCCCTTATTTCAAGGATAAGCAGAAATTACAGAATTAGCTTTTAAAACCTTCCTTAGGATTTCTCTGCAGGCAAACATTTACTATGTCACTGATAAACAAAGTTCAGCACATCCCCAGAAGATAAATCAATTCCACATTACTCCATTTCAGCTATTTGCCAAAACTGCTGCCGCCAATAAGTTGGTTGAAGTAACTCCTGCAACGGTTTCTCTCCTTGCAACTAGATCATAATTAACATGCTGTACAAATCCAAAAGCAATTATATTTTTTACCTGGAAGGAGCTGGATCATCCTGTCCCAAACGGGACATAATATTTATCAAGGTGTTTATCCCTAGAAATATAAACGATATTATATATTATATAATAAGTATTATTAAACAATTGCTAATTCAATTTACATAGACAAAATAATTACTCAAAGTGGTACTTTGTGATTGCTATACACAAAATCTTGCTGTTATTTATAGAGCTCACTTACAGCAAGTATAATCCTTACAGATGTTTTCTAACTGACCACAGTACCATTACAAGCAGCTTTTTTACGTTTGTGTTCAGAAAGCCAGAGACATACTACCTCTGCATGAAAGACATTCTGAACATTACACAAAAATAAAAAAAAAAATATTCTCTACATCTGAATATATTTAAGGGGTAAGGACTAGTTTAGAGCAGACAGACCACATTTTCGTTTTAATAAGATACCTTTACAAAATATCCTCCAGTATGCTTACAATGTTGAATAGCAAGTTAAGAAAACAATACTTTACAAAAGTATTTATAATTTATCTTGCTTTTTCTCAGCAACTCAACTAATTTCTAAAATCCAGTTGTTTAGAAAGATCCCACTGGTTGTATGTATAACCACTGAAATCCTCCACTAAAGTGATCTCAGAAGAGCAATGGACAATGAAATAGTAACAGACAAAATTTTTTCTTACTGATTAAGAGTGAGGTGAGAGAAAATGGTAGTGGTGTAACTACGTACCTTTTTTTCTCATATGCATATGGTGAACCTTTCTGTCTCCATACTTTGGCTGTCGAATTCCACAGTTGGATAAGGAATTTCTGGCATGGTCTGGATTCATTCCAAAGTTTAAATGATGGCTTGGATGAGTCATGGCAAGCTGTATTGTAGCACATGCAAGAAAATGAAGTCTTAGGTTTATTTTTGCAAATGCAATAAAAAATACTAGATTGGTAGCTAATAATTACTTTTTTTTTAGTTTGAAGAAAAGCTACAAAGTGATGTCGTCAATTAGTAGCTTGGTTCCAGCAATTTAAACATAGGGTGTATGATTTCAGATGTCAGAAAAGAAGCAACCCTTATGCCCAATCATCACTTTACCTAATTAATTTTCATTTTTTTTTTCTTTTTAAGAAAAATTACCTTTGAAGGTAGAAGCATGAACTATCAATTTGCCCTAACAGTTTTGCTTGCCAGCTATGCTGACTTGTTTTAAATACAACTACATTTGCTTATTCAAAAATATACTCATTGTAACGTTGCAGGACAAATGTTCATATTAAAAGCAGGAACAGTAAAGAGTATCTCCACTATTCACATATTTGATTAAGGGCATTTAAATATTAGTAAAGCTTTCCTACTTTCAAGTAAAAACAAACAAACAAAGTGCATTATCTCTGGCACAGTTATACAAAGCAGGACTCTCGGGACCATAGAGGGCCACTCTTCAACTGAAAGTTAACATCAATGGCAGAATTGGTCTTCTGATTTAAGTTTCTACCATTTAGCACCCTCTAGCTTCCTCTGCTGCTGATACCAAGATTGCAAAAATGGCAGCAGGTAAAGGTACTCTAACTTGCTTTTATGACTCTCTGCAAACTCATTGTTGGGTGTGTATATGCAAAGAAAATGTATATTTTGCATGCATAGATGTATACATTCATATACCCCTTATATAAGAGAGACACTAGCAAATTCAAGTTGCAGAAAGTTGTTTCTGAAACACTTGCAGGAATGTTGCTGCAGGCTATAAGCAAAGACATTCCAGTAGCCCTATGCACACTTCATTCAAACAGTGGCTACAGCTTTCCAAAGACAAGACTTAGAGAAATTTCAGTTGCTGGGAATAAAATGATAGTCATTCAACAGTAAGAATTTTCTCCTTTTCAGTTCCTCACTAATGTTAGTAAGATTGTCATAACTGCATATTTTCAACTTCTGCTCCATCTGTACTGGATGAAACACTACCTTGTCTGAACTGTTAAGCTAGCATATTCTTTCTTACCCAGTCTGTGCTTTAAAAACAACACAATATGACAGAACATGTGAAAATCAATGCAAAACTATACATCTGTTATTTTCTATGCACAAATGTTAAAGGTGCTATATAAATTTTTTAACAAGTCTTTCCTGGAACAACTTACTGTGCTTTAAATAAATATGCACAGGGATCAGCATTAAAGAGTTGTAACATTTATTATAACTAAACGTTAATTTGACTGATGTCAACATACTTCATTTTATGCGTTCTCCCCTTTTCAAATGTGATCAGTTTTTTAGTTTGTGTCTTTCGTCTCAACATTTAAGATTTGTCACTGCATTTTTATCTTTCATGTTAAAACCAAGGCAGCCTGCAAACAAAACCTACAAGATCCCCAATGTTTAATGCAACTTTCAGTAGGACTGAAGTAGGACTTTTTCTCTAAAAGCACCTTTTAGAAAACAGAGAAACTACGAAAAAAACATCTCAGCAAGCCTTGACTTAGAATTCTTCAGGATGTTTAAGGTCTACATCCACGTATAGAAACTGCATTTTTTGAACTTTGGGAAAATTAAATTAATTTTTTTCAGCCCCTACCACAGTCAGTGGAGGGAGACTGGGTATTTTAGGGAGAGATCTTGAACAGAAGCCTATTTTCCTTCAGCAATTTCAGAAGAAACATATGGGGAAAAGGACCAGCATGCCAAAAGTCAGTCTTCTGGAGCTGACCAGTTCCACACACACACACATAAATGGCTGGTCGCACAACAAGGATGTATTTAAAAAAAATAAGCCCCCCCCTCCTCTCCAGTTCCTGCCCTTGTTTGTAAATGCAACATTTCATTACGTACTTTTAGAAATTAAGAGCTGAAGAGAAGTTTGAAAACTCCTTGCACTAGCTATAAATGTTGCCTTTTCATTTTGTATTTAAGTTACTCGTCTTTGAAATAACAGGCTATAAAAGGAAAAAGCAAGGCACTGACTCATCTGCAGAAACCCACTATCCATCACAAATAGGTAAAATAACGAGTACTGTACCGTCCAGTCTTTTCAGACAGACTATTCTTTTTCTTCTACACATTACAAGCAAATCCAGGTTTACCACTGAGCAAAGGCAGGTGGATGTCTACATGCATAGATGTAGAATAGATGTGTTAATTTAAAAACCTGTCGGAATAACTAAAACATTTGAAAGATTTTTGGTGCAAACAATCAAAATATCTCAAAGCAGCTCATTTTCATGATTTTATGTAGAAGACAGGATTATAAATAAACTAAATTTTAGGAAGACAAAATGGCAAGTAATTTATTTTTGCATAACTTACCTGCAGCAAGCACCTATCTCGAAAAGTGTAGCCTATCAATTTGTCCAAATGCATCAGACACTGATGGTAGCGAATATGGTGGGTGAGAACAGGAAGCATCATTGCGTGCTAAAAAACAATAAGGAATAGCATTTATCTTCACTGCACAGAATACACCATTGACTAAGCTACAAATACAAACATCCCATTTGTCACAACATCCATTGTCTTGGTTTAAGTGAGAAAAATAAGAAAATCATGGTTTCCCAATCCCCATCACCAGAACTTAGTTAAGTTGGATTTGTCCACCTGCATAATCACAGTGAGAACATTCCCCTGCCAACATAAACAGAATAATAAATGCATAATAAGTTTTACTGAAGTATTTTGAATGAGGAAAAACATCTAGTCACCAGCAGGGTCAAATTTTCAAGAACCTGTGTCTGAATACAATGCTAGATGCTTTAATACCCTGCAGCTTCAGGTTAGTACCAGTGGAGGACCGACCACCTCCCTTGGCCCCATATAACATCAGAGAACATGTAAACCACTTTAACCTGCTTTTTACAAAGAAAAGTAATTTTCAAGCACTGTTATTACTACATTAATTCTTCTTCAAAGGAACTGAAGTTAAGGGCTTTTTGAAGGTTTTTGAAGTAATTTCTGGGATTATGTGCTAAAAATATTGGAAAGGTTGCCATTTTACCATCTAGGACAGAAACTTTTCTGTTGGGGGAAATATAAATAAGAAGTAAACTTATGTTGCAACAACAACAGTTTCCCTCTGTCAGAGTTTTAAAACTAATTCCACTTAGTGTTACTGATTGTGGATGATCTGGATTGAAATGACACCATTTACCAGTACCAGTATGATGATTATCAGTATCAAAAACCTTGCATTGCAGTGAAAGGCGAGAGCACTACAAGAATTTATGCATGTAACTGCCTTTGTGACACTGATGTCAAATTTCAGGTCTTTCCTATGAGTGACATTTCATGAATATATTCAAAAGGGTAACATGCTTTAAGGGAATTAAAATATGAGGGCTATCCATATTAATTTCATAAAGACGAATATATTATGATTACAGATGATTAATGTATAGTGTGGAGAGATGCAAAAAAGCAAGCATACAAATCGGATGATGTATAATTCATGGTAAGTGACGTTATGGATTTCTGCATGGCATTAAAGAAAGAACAGCAGAAGAAAACTTGTGAAAGTTACAATAATGAGAAGTTAAGAATAACCAATGGCAAAGGTTTCTATTCAAGTAAGGTATTGCTGGTTCAGTTCTTTAGAACTGAACACGTAACAAAGGTAACAAAGGAAACAACTGGTTAACAGCAAGAAAGAGGCTCTCTGGATCTCTGAATAGCAGGAAAATGCAAAACCACAGGAAGCAAAACAAGTATGTCCAAATGAAACTTTATTTTGTTCATGTCACTCATTTAGAGTTTTTGGGTAATGTAAAAGCTGGGGGAACACACCTCTTATTTCCACATAAACTCACATTTGTGTTTCATGGAAGAAATTAGTTACGGTAAGTAAAAACGTTGCTTCACAGGACAACTCTACTTCCCTGCCTGTATGTTCCCCTGTGCAGGCTGCCAGACAGCAAAGCAAGGTTTGATGTTGTTTTCACTGAGCAACCAATACATATGGCCCGAAGTCTGAGACTGGAATAAGAAGCTTCAGATTGTATCAGCTGTTCTGCAGTGAATGAGGAATTGGCATCTCCCTGGGAGGCACGTAGAAGGTCTTTAATTTGACTCTTGTAGTTATATTGACAAACTGCTGCTTTCATAGCACTAAATACTTGATTGATTCAATTAATGTGTGTCATGATGGATTATAGCTATTTGATGTTTCTGATGTTTTATTTATCTCTATAAGAAACTGAAATGTAGGCTTTAAAATTGTATTAGGCTCAAGAATGGCTAGTGATTAAAAAGTTCTCTTTAAATTGTACAGCTACAGGAGTTACCCCATAACCTTGGTACTTGAATCTGGTTATAAACATACTAGTAACTTTTATGTATATGATTCTAGCCTTTGTTGCCTATTCTTTTCTTGCTGCAGCTGGCATTGCAAAGCAGAGGACTCTCCCAGATGTCCCCAGGGCTGTCCCCTAGCTTGGCAAGAGCCAAGCTGCCAGTGCAACCTTGACCTGAAGCTACCAAGAAGAGTCAGAAAAACTGATCTGTTTTGAAATGCATCATTTCTCTCCCTGAACACCTAATGCAGCTGTTGAGGAGCAGGACAGGCAATGATGGGTGGGTATCTTCATGGTGGGACCCAGTCTGAAGAGTAAGTGCTGCCCATCTCAGTTCTCAGTGACCAAGAAGTGCATTTCACCCACTGAATAATGTTAAGTAAGCCTGGCAGAAAACAGCCATTGCACATTTTCAAAACATTTCACTCGCCTTTATTCCTCCCCCCAAGAAGTTAATTCTTGAAGTCACAAAGACATGTGTTACAACAGCTGCATTGAACTTGGAGCAACTTTAAACTGTCAGAATGACTTAAGTTTCAATCTTCTAATCTATAATCCTTTTAAACACTAAGGAAAGCGAGTATTTTTAAATTACTGCACTTTAGGTCTACCTACAGAGTTAATTTACATGTATTTAGGTTTAGTCTGATTTAGAAAAAAACATGCAGCAACAATAGCAGTCTTTCATTTTTACAGATTTACAGTCTACCTACTCTTGACCTCTCAAAGAAAAAAAAATCAAAGGACTTTCATTGTAGAACTGCCTGATTTAGATGTTCTGGCTGCAGATGTGCAGTTTTATTCCCATAGCTCTTAGGTGATTTGCTATCCTTCAACAGCAAATGAGAACAAAAAATATCCAATGACACATTAAAAGTTGAATCTTAAAAGTTATTATGAATAAGAAAAAACTTTCAAATCTCCTAAATTAGAAGTTTATACTGTTTCCTTAACTTGTAACAGATCCAATTTACAACAAAAAATAGAAAGGGGATATAAATTTCCTCTGCTACGTGAGAGGATACTGTTCAACTGTTCTTTGACTTCAGAATCAACTGTAGAATCAAAATAAGTATTTTACACAGGAAAAAAAAAGCAATTTTAATTATTAGCATTTTTCTCCCATTCAAATGCCCCCTCTGGCCTTACCAAGGTTCCAATACATCAACAGGATTTCTAACTAAACCTTTCCCAAGTCACCCCTAAGTTTTTATTTCATACCATTAATATTGATTTTTTTTTTAGCCTGTAATTCTTAAGCAACATCTCTGAAACATCAAAAATAACCCAATTATACTACTAGTATATTTATTTGGCTGATACACTTACTTGAATTTTGCTAATACAATGTTAGACAAATGCATTTTATTATATTTAAACCTTTTGTTTGTAATCAAAGTAGGTGGCTGCCACCTGCTTGTTGGGATTAGGATCCAGCAGAGATTTGCACCTTGAAAGTTTCATGCGTTTAGAACATTAACTTATCTGAAAGATCTTCCTACTGAGGGTCACCCTTTTTTAATCCATGTTTGATTCTTTTTCTTTCAAGTAAAAAAAACACTTTGTGCTACAGTAAGAAAAAAAAATCTCTCTAAATATAAAGATATCTTAAGCTAAAAATATCTAATACCAACCCAATTGATGAAGAAGCATTGATGTTCAGCACTTGACTCAACATACGGTTGACAGAAGTCAAGGCTACTGCATTTCAGACCTCCAGGTCTCAAATTTGCCATTCTTGAGTCCTATCATTCCCATGCCTTCCCCACTTTGTGCTAGTCAAGAGTAGCAAGCTGGAAAATTACACCTATAAAATAGCTTCTTGGGGAAGGTGTGTGTGTGTGCGTGAATGGGGCTAGAACAGCTCCCTACAGCAACAGATCATGTTGAGGCAAAGGTATTAATTTCCAGTGGTTGGTTCTTTAGCACAGAACCATAGCAAATTCTTACAGGAGGTAAGTGGCAGCAATGGAGAAAAACAATACATCATGCATCTCTGCAGTTTAGTCACCTGGCAGACGTCGGAGCGTATCCCTGTTTTCCAGAATCCCTGGCTACTCAATTCAACAGTCACTTCACGCCTCATCGTGTTCTTCTGCCGGATTTTCTGCAGTGCTTCCTAGACAGGCAGAAAACACAGCTCCTGTGAAGAACTTTCTACAGCAAAGCAGCATCAAAGAAAGCACGTGCATTCGCAATATTTAAGGTTAACTTTCGGCAAAAGGTTTCTAAAACTTGTGAAACTCTTGTAACTGCCAGCCACAGACCACGGTGGATATGGAATACAATGCAGACAAAAGATTTTGTCAGACCAAGAAGATAAATATGACTAGTTTTTGTTGTAGATGACAAACCAATCTAGCTCTACCTGTACCTTCCAAAGCTGTGCATACACAAGCAAGCTAACATCCTTATAAAGAAAGAACCTTCTTTACCATTGTGCATAACAACCTCTTCAAGTCTAGGTCCGTGAGTATTCCCAGTCTGAAGCATTCAGTAGGAATAAGGTATTCAACAGATTAAATAACAGAAAGCCTGTTACATGACCCCAGCTACATCATAACACTATTGTCAGTACCACCAGTCTAGGAAAGGGGTCAGCATTCGCTGGTCCTGGAGCCTATTATGATGAAATCTACCAATATTATTACAATTAAATTAAAGGTACTTTAAGCGTTTAAAAAAAAAAAAAACACAGCCTGTTTGATGTTGCACAACAGTGCTTTTGGCTGTATAAGCTATGAAATGGGTACTTAGGTTCTCTGACAGAGCCATTTTAAAAAAGTATTCTCTGTAAAAATGGAATGAAAAAGAAAAACCACTAAAATAAATCCCCTCCAGACCAGGATCTTCTGGTTCCAATACTACAGAGCCCCTGCAGTATGCAGCATGCACTAAAGTAAAGACACCCCCCAGAGCTCTTCCCTCTTCAGTCAAGGAAACTTTTCAAAGCTGCAACTCATCCTTCCTCTCCTCCCTACAGGGCACATGCTCAAAGCCATCCCTTCCCAGTTCCCAGTCTGAAGCCAGTGAGTATCTCTGGGCAGGAACAGGCTGTGCTTTCTGCTCCAGAGAAACTCACAGAATGGTTCCAAGAGGCACATCTACCCAAACAGTTTAATCAAACCTGTTTCTAGACAGTACTGAGATGTCTAGCGTAGGATGCTAGTCAGACCAGGCTCCGTTCATATGCAGTGAAGGGGGATAAGCTGCTTCAGAAAACACGTTTCTCTCTTAACTGCCTTCAAAGTGAGCCTTAGGGTCCCAACTTATGCATCTGCTCTAAGAAGTCGAAGTCAGGTTAGAGCCCTACACATGACCTTGTCACAAATAACATCATGCAATCGCAAGTGGTGAATGACTGAGGGCAGAGGTGCTTACAGCACCGCACCCCTTGGGCACTGTCTAAAACTTGCATTTCAAGGCCGTGCCATCGGGAGTTTTCCAACACTGGCACTAGAGTGCTTGTGAGACCTCGCTGTACTTTCAGGTTGACGGGCTCAGGAGCACTCCAGCGTTACTCATAATACATGACTCAATCCTTAAAAGCACATGCACCAGTTAGGTGCAGCCCTACAGCTCCTACTGTGTTATTGACACCTCCATTAGCAGAATGCAGAGGTTACCCTCATGTAAAGCTTCTGCTTCAGCCCCACGCCCCTCTCTGACTGCAGACAACAACTTGAGAAACCCATCATCCTAAACAGTCTAGAAACAAAGATCAGAACACCACACTGTAAATACCACCACATTTTTATCTTCTGAAGCTAAACAATCACTCCCCTACAACCAATTCACCACCATTTTACACAAGCCATCCAATAGCCACTGATAAAAACATGTCCAAAACACAATGGTCCTCCCTTCCACTTGCTCTCCTCTGAGCATGGAAAGCTCTAGCAAAGAAAACCATCTCCTATAGGGTCCATTTTTTTTTTTTCCTTAAAAATTGTGGCACTGGTGAATTGTAACCCTGTTTTTTTTCCCACATGTTTACAGGGAGGGAAGCTAAGGGCTTGTTTAACACCAGCATAAATAAAATATCAAGTAAGACTCTTTGTCATGCAACAGCATAATGTGCTTTGCAGTAGTAACAAAACCAAATAGGGTGTCAAACAGCTACAGCTACCATAACCACGGACACAGAATTAGCAAATTAGAGGCAATTAAAATAACGACCTGGCTTTTTAATAAATAAAACCATACCACCATCCATCCTGTGCCAAAGAAGTTCATTTCTCCTCTCTGAATTATTTATATAAGTTGTCCAATGTAGAGTGTCTGACAGACAAGTCACCAGACAAATGCAAAGCTTCAGTGTAAAACCTTAGATGATGGATACCTTAGAGTGGGCTACTTTTGTCTACTTGTAGGTGACTATTTTTCTAATTTTGGTTGAGCATTTACACTTTGGAATTGCTTTTTGCTCATCACTCTGGGGGAAAAAATATTCATACACACACCTATCATTAAATATTACTAAGAACAACCGGATTATCCCAACTGTTTAAGATGTTCTGTTACCACTCAAAGATCTTAAGGAATTCACTAAGATAGTCTAATAAATTAGTTTAAAACTATGCATAAGCATGACAGTTTTTAATCTCAAAAGAGGAATATTTAAAATGATGAGACGCTTAAAAGAGCATTCTGAAATGAAAAGTCCTTCTTTATGCTAATTCCTGAAGCCATTAAAGGCAAGGGCTGTAAAGAAGTTATGGCTCCACAAAGATCATTTCTGTAATTGGATAAAAAAAAACTTGAAGTAGTATGGGAGTTGCATAAAAGGAAAAAATGAAAAAAATCCATTCACTAACAAGAAAAGATAAAAATAAAATCTGTATTAACAGCCTCAGAAGAAAACCTTTTGTGAAGGATTTCTATTGTTTCCATAAAAAGGGCACTTATACAGCTTCACTCCATCCTGAATTACTGTGCCCAATTATCAGATATGGGAAGGCCCAGCATACCTCTCTCTGTGATAATTTCTGTTTATCAGCCTGTTTGACTTTGGGACTGTTAGCCAGCAGGTGACGCAGCTTCACGTAACTCTTCCACAGCTTTTGGTATCTGAAGGACAAAACCAGAAAACAAGTATTTTAGTTGATATAACAGAAGCGTCTTGGAGCTCGGCCTTCTGAACTCACATAGACATGGATAATCTACAAGCATTTTTTTGCTCAAAAGATCTCAAAGCATTTTCCAAGAAAGGTGACAGCATCCCTACAGTTGTTACTGACGCAGACACCGCAACACAGAGGAGGCATCAGGGTGCAATGTGAGGTGAACAGCAAAGCTCAGGGGAGAACCCAGGTCTCCCAGATCCCCACCTATCCTCACCAAAAGGCCACCCGTGCCTGCTGAAAAGACTTCCCCATAGTGCAACATCTCAATTCAGGCAGAAGACTCCCTCATCTCCACGAGATTCCCCTGTTGCTCACCAAGAAGCATTAATATTTCCCAGGAAGTGTCTGTCCTTACACTGGCTGAAACATTTTAATGAAGCACATGAAGAGAAGGCCTATGAGTCACAAGCAACACAAGCATTCTGTGAACAGTGAAATTGAGCTTCAGTTCATGCCCTACAGTGCCAAGTTCTCTGTGACTAGTGCATACATAAGGTTCCTGGTTTTTACCCAGCCATCTTGCCTACTTGCATTTTGGGATGGTCTAGTCAGATGGAAATTTAGGCAACAGAGTTTGTTACTGTCTGGATAAGCACCCACTCTTTTCACTCCTGAGACTTATCTGCAAGACTTATGATGCAATTTTAAGTTCATATATCAGCTTTTTCCCCATTCTCAAGTTATCAAAGTTAATAAAAAGAGGTCAATATTGTGCAGAATTTCACAAAATCTGTAACACTAACTCACAAGCCTTTCAGACTAAAAAAGTGTAATTTGCTGAAAATAAATGTAAAAGAGCACTCCTATACACATCCTTGACAACCAAAGGAGCGAAAACACTAAGGTAAAAAAAAAAATTGCTGATGATACAGAAGTACTCAGAATATTAAATCTAAAATCCCTGAAGAGTTGTAGAAGAATGTGTGTCATACATGTGCACTGGAGTAACCGGGCCTCAAAACTGCAGGTGAAATTCGATGTTGTCAAATAGCACTGATCAGTAAGAGGAAAGAGACAACCTTAACTATACATGCAGAAGAGCTGGGGTTTATTTTCTGTCATCATTCAGAAAACAGACCTGTGAGTCAATGGAAGAACTCCCTGTAAGTGTCATTAGTTACAAAAAACTTCCAGAATTCTAGAATAAAACCCAGCAACAACTTTTATGCCACTACACAAATCCATAATGAAACAGTATTCCCTGCTGTTCATGAAGTTCTGCTTCCCTCTTCACTCTGTTCCTGTATCTATAAGGATAGAAAAGGTACATGCAAAAGTAGTGAATGCAAAATCTTCCAAGCTAAAAGCAGCAGACAGACTCAACCCTTCAGGTCATAAAAAAAAAAGACAAAGAAGGAAGACAGGGTGCAGAGAAACGTAAGTGCCATGAAGAAAGCAAACAGTAAATGGCTACATTATACATTAATAGACGTAAGACCTGAAGAGCATCTAATCAAGTCATGTAGATGCTCGGAAGAAAAAAGAAATTCAGTCTTTTTTTTTTAATATAATGTACAACAGCATTCAGAAAGTGATTACCTGGAATCTTCTTCCTGTCAGTACACTAAGAAGGTTCAAGCAGTGATTTGAGAAATTTACAGAAGGTAGGTTCACTCAGGCCTGCTAAACAAAATGGTCTAAACATGTCCTCTAGCTCACAAGTCCACATACTGCAGAGCCTGAGGAAGGATGTGTTTTCCTTCTTTCCTGTTAAAACTATTCTATGGAAAAAAACAAAACAAACGACAACCCACAACTTTCCTTGCATGTGCATGCACGTTTACTTGAGAAGATCCTGAATTAATCCAGAAGAAATTACACCTCATTCTCTAATTTGCAAAAGCTAGTGTCCAATCCCATAAGCACTAAGCTTTGTATTGGACTTGATAAGCACATAAACAAGCCCTATTTAAGTCACAAATGACAACAGTAATGAGTTTCTGAATGGAAGTTGGAAGGAAAAGCATCTTACTGAGGATCTCCAGCATAACTGAGTTGAGCAGGTCGTATCCCAAAGTGGACAATAATAGGGAAAGTAATTACATCAGGATTGAATTGTTCGCGGTCCAGTTGATCAATACGAACTGAGCTGGGTTTCTAGGAGAAAAACAAAATATACCTAATTGACAACAGTTCCATGAAAAATTTATTGCCTCTAGCCCACACTGTCCAGGAACCACGAAGCAGCAATATTCCAAGCTTATTAAAATACACGTAAAACTAATCATTTATATTATAATCAATATTTGGCAATGGCAACGACTGAAACAAAGTTAATTAACTTAGCTCTCCCAGCGAAAAAAGGGAAGACTATTTTCATTTTGCAAGTTAGGAAATCTACAGTTTTATTATTTCTGAGAACCTAAAGCAGCTTTCTTCGGTTGAGCATCACGCTGGAAATAAAGTCAGGATTAGCATTTTGGCATTCGGGCTCCCCCAAGCCCAAGCACTTCTCTAAGATCAGGTTACCTCTCTGATTTAGTCCTTATTTCCCAGTGTAAGTGCAGAAATTATTAGATCAAATCACACAAAGTGATATAAAAAATTTAAAAAGCATCGTGCTACTCTTAGAAAAGGCTCCCAGGCTGATGCATATAATGAGGAATCCAGTTTTGTATATTAAGGAGACTTTTGTCCTTTTTACATTTCAAAACAGAAGGAGTTTTTTTTGGTTAAAAAGGACAGCATAAGAGAAGGTGACTTTCATTTCACCTTTAAAAATGCAGAAAATGAGTTATTACACGTCATTGTAGATGACATGCTGCTTACAGAGCTCTTGATCACTCATCGTACATTAAAAAAAGGATTCGGCTGAAGTTGCAGCTTGTCTTCAAGTAAATATTTTCTCCATTACCTCCCAAGCTGCTTTGTTATGCGCCTGCTAACTCCCCACTTTGCAATCAGATGTATGAGGCCGATACCTTCTGCTTGTCTAAGGTTTCAGAAAAAGGGCATTACTTCTAGTTACCTGCACCTCAAAACTTCTAATTCAGCACTGCAAATTTCTCAAAGACAAGTTTCAGAGTTACAAAAACAGCTCCCATCATTCTCTTCACAAAACAATAAAAATTGTGTCAAGAACAAAGCTTTCACCCTTCAAACCACCTTTGAAGAACTGTTCACAGGAATCATTTTCTGCATGGATAAGCAAAGCCTATTCTAGAAATGAAGGCAAACCTCCTCAGGTGGCAAAACTTCCAATCTATTCTAAAAAAGATTACCTAAAACTTGGACTTTCAGATAGAGAAACATTTTCCAAGGGAAAAATACTTATCAGCTTCCCTTTAGGCATGATGGCAGAACATAGCTACATCTTCCCCCCCCCCCAAAAAAAAAAGTTGCACATGCTGGCAAGTTTAAAAGAGATGAAAAAGGGTTTCCTCAGAGCACTTCCAATAAAAGAGGAATAGGACAGCAAAGTCTAATGAAAAACAGGAAGGATTTCTAGCAGGTATAAATTAGATCTCTAATCCAGAGCTGAAATTCCTGAGGTTTTGTGAGTTTTGCAGAAAGATAAATTGAAAAGCTTTTTTTTTTTTTTTTTTTTTTGAACTTGACACAAGTTACTTGCTGTCCCATTCTCCCCCTGCCCGCCTTGACATTAGGAATGAGGAAATGATGAATCCCCCCCCACCCTTTTTTCTTTAAGAAAGCAGCCTTGCTTCACAACAATTTCTCTGAGAATCAGGAAGGCAAAATATGGTTAACAGAATATATGACAAGAAGTATATTGAATATACGGACTAAAAATCAAGATATTGAGGCTACAGGCAATATTTTTCTATATGTTCCACATGCTAGACATGTGAAGATATATCCAGATATAGTACCGAAATATGTTAAGAATATATGGATTTGTACTGGCAGAAAAAGCAGCAGCATTTTAAAAGAGTGAAGTATTAAAAAGGATTAAAATCTGAACCTTTAAATCTCTTCCAATACAAATTTTTACTGAACTAATGAAGCAGTATGAATAAATTACTTTTAAATAACAGTGAGCTATTTATTGGTTGTTGTTAAATGGGACATATGCCTATCAATTCCTCCATCATACATATATACACCACATTTTAAAAAAGAAAATACATAGAAAGTCTGTTCACAAGAGAAATTATTTCTGAAGTGACACAGTGGAGGAAAGCAGCAAAATAAAATTTAGTGGTTTTACTCTGTCGTGTCAAATGCATAAAATTAAATTTAGAAGTTGTCTTTTACTAAAACAGTTTCACATTGTCTCTATTAGAACTGTTTCATCTTCTAACATTGTAAAATGCACAGAAAACACTTTCACACCATTTTTCACTTTCATTGTCAATAGAATATGCCGCAATGAACCGAAAAAAATCCACAAACTAAGAAAAAAATCTTTGCAATCTTGAGAGAAAAACATGTTCCAAGGGTGACATTATAACATGACAACGTTTCAAAGTATTGCAGATTTCTTTTATGCTTACATATTTTGATGTCCACACACATCTTTAAAAACATCTTGTAGAACACAAAGTTTGTCAATAAAAATCACGGGAAATCAAAGTTAACGCTACCACTCAAACTGTGTTGCCTTGTGCATGAAGGCATTTAGTTTTTTGAGTGATGCACAAAAGGAGCATATAGACATACCCTCACGCTAAAGAAAAAAAGAGCAAGCTTTCAGCTAGCTGAAGTCAGCATATCATCAGCCAAACCACTGAAGATATGCCATTAATATGCTGAAAACTTGCATACTACCAAGTACTTTGTATCACAGAAACCACAGACAATGTTAAATTAAGCAATTAATGCTAACAATTTATATTACAAGGTTCTACCTTCATTTTAACCACCTCCAATAGGGCTTTCCATACTGAGAGTTCACGTGTTCTGTATCTCACACTCCCACACATGGTCTTATTTTCCTTTCAGTGTAGGAAGTTTTAGCCAGAAAAAAATACTCGGTGAAACGAAGGGGAAAATAATCTGATAAATTACGATTACCTTAAGGTAATTTACTAAATGTAATGCTGCTGTACTTTAGAGGCTTGATATATGTATATCTAGAAGGGCGTCATGGCTTCAGTCTGGGAACAGGTTCTTCAGTCAGCACACAAAATTTCCCTTTAAGCATCATTCCAATTCATTTTTATCCTCTCATATGTTGTGCAATAAAAGTGGAAAATGAAGCTACAGAAAGGAAGGTCTTACAACATATAAAGTTGCATGTCTGTTTAAAATGTGAGGTCTAAAACATGCCTGTTATTGAGATACCATCTTTGTGATGCTGGCCAATCCATGCAAACAGAAGTCCGCAGTTTTTAGTAGACATCACGTAATTCTTGTGTCCCGCGTCTCTTAAGTACAAAATTTAGAAAAATAGACAATCTGCATATATATTGGATTTGAAAGAAGCTGAGAACTTATGCTTTAAATGCTAACTGTTCCAGAAATTAAGGCCATTTAGGTTTCAAGTTTGTCACTGGAAATTAATAGTTGTGTTCAATTAAGTACACAAAATTTCTCCTTGTGAAAGCAGCATAAAAAATGATGGGGGGTGGAGAAAGCACAGAGGCAGAAACTTTTCAATACTCAGGGCAGCATCTATAGAGAGTATATTAAACAGAGCTAGGGAATCAAAAGAGGAACATGAAAGAAAATAGCAAATAATTACTAATTCTCTGGTTCTGTGAAAACAGAACAAGATCATGCACCAAGACTGTTAGAGAAAATATGAAAGCAGAGGAGCAAGTTACTGTTCCCTATACTTAAAACATAGCTATTCCTTTTAATGTGCACATTGAAACAGAGCTTCTCTGGAAACCAGCCCGTTGGTAGCACAGCATAGGGTACAAATCTCCCCAGGGTTGGAACAAGTTAGCGAACTGTTCCTATACCAATCTGCAGCTGTCACTGGTCAACTTTGCCCTTTCCAATTCAGACTGCAGCAGACTCTTCAGAACAAGAAATGCACATGTCATTGGCTTGTTAATGAATCAGAATTATTTGTTCTACCATGCCAGGGCTGGTGACGATCATCCCTTTGCATTCTTCTGCATATTTCTGCCATTCCAGCTCTTCCCACTGAAGCATGTTGGCAATCTCTTCCTCAGGCACCAGAGCTTTATTGCACCGTAACAAGTAGAGGAGAATCTGATGCATTGATAGTACTTCTTTCCCTCCATCTTAAAAACATAAATAAAATGCATTTCAGTTATTCAGTCCTAAAGCACAAAGGAAAGAAAATATGCAGCACATAAAATATTCAGATGAGAAAAATAAAATGCAAAATGTTTAAGCAACTTGACAAATAAGAAGGCAAATGTTTTAGTGATGAATAGTACACATACATAAACACTTCTTTGCTAAACTGGAAGCAATAATGTTAACAGTAGCAAGAATAACAGTTTCATCTTACTGAATGCTGAAGTTTCTAACTTGCCTGAAAAACTTCTAAATGAGGAGGCAGAACAAATCAGCTACATTGTCCATTGACGTCTTCCTTTTCACACTTATCATCCCTTTTACAACACAAGTTAAAAAGCCTTTAGGCATTTATGCAGGTTTTTTAATGAACACTCAAAATTTTACAGGATACTTCTGGATGAATGTAGTAAGTTATCCTTGTATATTGAATTTATCTATAGTGCTTACGTGCTGCACCTGCAGTAATGAAGGGTAAAGAGCCTCATGCTGTCTTCTGTCACTAAATGAATCGAGCGCATGTGAAAACTGCTAAATTCTTCTGAGTCCCCTGGAAACATGCACAGCAAAGGCTGCTTGCAAGGAATTAACACAGTATAATAATATACATCTGACCAGATCCAGGCAGTCAGATACAGATGTTAACAGCAAAAGATGAGTGATAGTCCTGACAGACCACCACTCAGAAGACACTGTCTGTTCATACAATCCAATCCAACTTGGAAAGGACCTGCAAAGATCAATTGGGTCCAACTCCTGGATCCCAAAAGGATCACACAAAAAAATTAGACCACGTGTCTGAGAGCATTGTTTAAATGTTTCTTGAACTCCAGCAGGCTCAGTGCTGTGACCACTGCCCTGGGGGCCTGTCCCAGTGCCCAACCACCCTCTGGGTGCAGAATCTTTTCCTGATATCCAGCCTGAACCACCCCAATTCAAACTCAAAATTAAAACGCTTTAGTCACGTGTCTTCCTTCTTACTCATATGAGCAGACATACTGAATTGAAAGAAGGAGGTCACAGAGATTTGTACCAAAACCAGGGGTTAAACTCCAGTCACGGAGGCATCTTCAAGTTTCAACCCTTTAGAAATATAAACATTCATTTCCCTTCCCAAGAGATGCAAGATCATTACAGTCCTGCTACAGAGTACATTATTACTATACACACAATAAGGAATAGAAAAAGTAAAGCTTTCAAGTGATACGGGAATAATGCCACAGCATAAGGAATGTGATTCCAGGCACACACGAAGAGCTTTGCAGAACTACAACGTACAGCAGCGCTGTGCAAGACATCTTTCACAAGACACGCAGGGGAACAAGCACTCCTCCTACCCTAGCTAGGATTGCAGCACTTTTCCTTTAACAGGAAAGATGAAAAGGAATAATATAACTTGACCTGTTAGAATAATTAACCTCATTCAAGCTCTAAGAACCTAAAAACAGGCAAAACATACCCCAAACATCAATGGAAACAGAAAATATTTCTGAAGAGCTACAGAGACATTTTTTAATGTAAAATTTTGCTTCACATTAAAGACGGATTCAATTCATGTGACTTTTATCTTTGTTTCAGTGATTGCTGGACATGGGCTGCAACTTACAATATGAACTAGTTGACAGTGTGTAGCCTTACACACTGATGACTTTACAGGAAGAACAGGTTGCTACAGACAGCTATGCCAAACAGCAGTAGTTCAGAGACCTGACTTTTCTTGGGTCAAAACATGCAGTAGCTGGGGATTGAAAACAGTTTTCTATCATTTTAATCTTCAATATATTCTTCATCAAAAATCTATGACAAAATCCAATACAGCAGCTATTCTGCATGTTATACAACTCTGGCACTCAGCACACCTGACATGATTATCTCAAAGCTCAGAGCTACCTCAAGGCCTGTCTCTAAGTATCCCACATAGAAAATCTGACATCCTAAACTTCACATTTTTAGACCATGTTAGAAAGATAAGAAAGAAAAGTAGGGGGAAATGGGAAATCACCAATTCATTTCTATCTTTAAGGAGGCAGTTGATGGATGCATGGGGAGATCTGCTGCACCAATGCATCATTATCTTTGAATAGACACAAATAACGTACCACAAACACCTGAAGGAAAATGGATTCCCATTTTCTGGAAATTAAAAATCTCAAGGACATACATTAAACGTATACTTAATGAAAAATACATTTAGCATAAAGATCCTAGAAGGTAACTATATATGTAGAAGCATCAGGAAAAATACATTTTTTTTGAAGAGTTAGAGGCCTGGGAACCTTGCAAAGAAGTCACACAGGAATACATGTTAGAGAGACTTATCTCTCCCTGTCAATAAACAATCCAACTGTGCAGAAAGAGCTGACTTCAAAACTAAAACAAATCAGAGTATAAAAACCCCAAAGTAACTGGAAAACACCCTTGAGCTACACAATCCAGGGAGGTCAAACTTGTTCTCATTTTGTGATGAGGTCAAGTTAATCAGCCACATGTGGCTTGATGGCTTATTTTGTAAATTGCTTCAGCAGAACCAAATCAATGTTTGCTAGCAAGCCTCAGAGCTCCGCTTCTGATTGAATAGTGTTGTGTATCCAGGAAGGAACAACAATTAGAAACATAGTAATCTAGCCATCAGTACTCTCCACAGTAGCAAGCCAAACCTCATTTAGCTGCAGCTCTAATTAATATCACAACGAAGTTCCAAAGCCCAAAGCAGAGAGCACCTCCAGGCCACAGCCCTCTTGACATAGGCTGTGCCACATCTCATCTGCACCCTCAGTTTAGCAGCTGAGCACATCCTCCTTTCCATACAACCCTCCTGGAACAGGCACTGACAGAATCTCAGCAGGACGCATTTTCAGCGGAGCCATGACATTTATGTCAACTGAAAGTCTGTCCTACTATCTTCGGATGTGTTAAATCCTTGTAAAAGCTGTTCACTCAAACTGAGCACAACTCTCCACACGAGCTTGTCCTTGGCTGGCAGGCTGGGGTTGAATTGCACTGGAATGGTGTTTTTCTGCCTTTCAGTGCTTGCTGCAAGGTCTCAGCTTACATTAAGGTAAGAAAAAGAAGGAAACAGAGAAACCTATGCTCAGGAGTGCCAAGCTTGCTGACCCTCAAAATTGCACACCAATAATTTCCATGTAATTGCATGACATGCATCCTGAGGAGCAGAAGGGACATGAAATTTAATTTCATATGTGAGAATAAATAATAGCACTACCCAAATCCCACAGCTCCATCACAGGACAAGTTAAGTCGGACCCAGCACTGCCTACAGTCACCACATGGCAGACAAAAGCTGGATGCAAGACCTGGCCTGTCTATCACAATACTGGTGCTGAGCAAACCATGCACAGCATCAGTGAGTATGAAAGACTTCAGATGGAAGCACCAGATCAACGTGCAATGCATTTAAGATCTTATTACATTACCTGGAAGAAACCTCACAAATCGCGGCATGAAATGAAATCTGGGGCAGGAAATAGCATCATCTTCAAGTGAAGGTCCTTAAAGATGAAAAAAACACATAGAAAATTAATGAACAGCAACATATTTACAAAAGAAAATAAAAAGGAATGCTTGCCTCAGATGAAATCAATGAAAAATTATTACATTTGATAGGGCTTAAGTTTGACAGAAAAGTATCAAAACGCTCAGAGGAACAAAGTATCAACTTCTGATAAATTCATCCTAGTGGACAAAATCAAATGAAATTGAAATATCTTAAAACAATAATCTAAAACACATACCACTCTATTTAAAACAGTGATACGGGGAAAAAAAATGTTTAATATAGCTAATCTACTTCAGTCTTATAGACACAAACACTAGTTTTTGATTAGCAGTTTTTTTTTTTTCCTTGTTACAACAAATATAACACAGAAATTTCCATGATGCTGTTTTGTGTTTTTCCTTTCCTATTTCATTATCCAAAGCTTTACATGAAAGTAAGAACAGTAAGTACCTGGCATTAAAACAAAAAATTAAAATCAAAACCAGGGATATGAAACATTACTATTTGAATACATTTAGCCAAAGAAGGCTACACAGAATATAGTTAAACAAAGGAGTGTACAAGTGTCATACAAGTGCAGAGTGCATCTCTGTAGACAGAGAAGACAACAAAACACACCTACAGATTCTGAAATGAAGTTCCTTTGAAAATGCCTTGGTTTTCTTTTAGACCAAGGGAGGGATTATTCCTGAAATTCTCCTTTGTCAGTCTTCATAGGAACACATTTTCATCTTTTCAAGTTCAAAACAATCAGCTATAATAACTTACCCTTCTGTGGCTGTCTGTATGACACTGCTTTGTAAGATGACTGCAGAGAAATACTGCACGAGTAATAATTTGGTAGCTTATAAAAATAGAGGATAGTTTACCTGACACCTTTGGCGTGACTTTTGCATTTTTTATATAACCCACAATAATGAATCTTAATAAGTTTCAACTTCTCAAAGAAGAAAGCAGAAGTTTGTTACTCTCAATTAGTACAGCATTTGACTATTATTGAGACCACTCCCCACTTTTTTCTTTCTTTAAAAAAGAATATGGCAAAACAGACCTATTTACTGAAGCTGCCACTAATTATTTTTGTATTTTTTCCAGTAAGTATAAGTTACCTTTAAGATTCCAGTCATAGAGCTCCAAAATATCTTTGAATAGATAAGAAGAGAACAGCTCAAGACCTTTCACACAAAAATTCTAGGGAAAAAACAAAACAAAACAAAACAAAAACAAACTCAAAACAAGCTTATAATTACATAGTACTGTAACATAGATAATGCCACTAACAGATAGAGTCTTCATATTTGTCAACTTCTAGACTTTGTCCTTTCGAAAGTATTAATGCATCTCTAATCATTTACTGTAACACAGTGGTCTCTTCAGGAAAAAAAACCTGTCAAGAAAGCATTGTAATTTTTTGTGCAATGTCCAAATCCACTCTATAGGCAGAAGTTATGAATCTCATAATTCACCTTGCACCAAAACCCTTTCACTTGAGTAGGCTAAGCAGATAATATTTCTGAGAAGGATCTTTCATAATTCCCTTTTTCCTACAAGTTCATATTAAAAGCTTACAAATCACCATCTGTGGTATCATGATCACTTCTTCCATAGCAACAAATCAGTACAATGCAAATAGAGATTATGACCTTAACACCCAGCAGGAAAGGGGAAAAAAATTCTTGCTCATCAAGCAGAAAAGCAGCTCCTCCAAAAGCAAAGAGTTTTCAGTCAGAAGTGAAAGAACCATTGCTTTGAAAAGCATTTCTAAACAAATTTGGGACAGGATAATGTAAGTTGTACATATATAAAGACGGCTATAAATTCCAAAGCCAACAACACAATCTTTCACAGGGCTGAATTAGGTAAAGATTGTTTAAAAGTACTGCACTTTAGCCACAGGCAACTGACCAGGAGTCCACAAAAATGTAAAATTCCCTAACTTGCTCTGTGGCCATTAATTGTTCTAGAAAAAGATTGAGACAACACAGCAGATTTAGTAACAAAAAGGGAACTGCATTGATCACATTAATCTTACTGAGGAATCTCAGGCTCTTGCATGTATTTAGTTGCTGTTGAGCAAGAAAAAAAGATAACTAGAAAGAAAGATGTAATTATGACTACAATACTGACCCTATCTTTGTAGTTAACATGCAGGGGTGCTTCTGTGCTGCAGTTGAATAGCAGGTGTAGGTAATTTACTTTGCAAACTGGCTACACCAGTGATTAATTTGTCATAAACAGATTATGAACTGAATGTGCTTTGTATCCACAGGAAATTTGTTTCGGCAACAGCTTATATTAAGTATTGATAAGTGATCTTCAGAGCTTCAAATTCAAGATTAAGTTTCAGCCCTGGCATTGGTTTATGTGGTCCTGGAAAGCCAGCACCTCCACATGCCTTTCATCAACTGTAAAAGAAGGATAATGGCGATGTCAGCTCACAGATAAGAGTATCTGACATATAACTTAAAATGAAAAGATGCTACGGGTATAAGCACTTCTTACTATTTGATTTTAATGTATGATAGCCTAGGTAGATGGATTTATGCTAGTACCTTTAAGTGCAAATTCCTTTTCAGCCATTCACTCTGAACACAGCCTGTCTCTTACCATCTCTTCACAAGATGGGATTCTGAAGAGTTTAATCCATTAAGCGTATCAACTCTTAACCCACTCTGACTTTTTAACTAATTATCCTTCTTACCTCAGGCATCATCTCCTCAATGAAATGAATGGTATAGTCAATGTTAAATCTGATTACTTTACATAGAGGAATCTGGAAGGAAAAGAGATTCGGTATGAAAAACTATACAGTGTCAAATGTACAGTTAATACAATTTTGAATGCAAAGGTATTACTGTCTGCTGAAAACGGCACTTAATAGAACAGCTGCTTAGTGAGATCATGCAAAGACAGGAACGCAAGCGCGTGCAAGAGAAGCAACAATTCTAACCTCCACCTCTGATAACACAGGGCTGACAGGAGGGATGGTAATGTAAGATTAAATAATGCCATCTACTGGAGATGAAGTTTTGTTTAGGAGAAAAAGAGAAAAAGCAAAGTTCAGTAAACCCACATCTGCTCTCCCTTGTATATCTGGAAGGGAATTTTATTGTTGAGGATACATGTCAGATCAATACGCTGACCTGAAGACAAGGTGTTTTTTTTTACACTGCCAATTCTTTCAGCTATACCTTCCATAAAAAATGTTGTTAAGTGGTGAAAACACAATGTAGGAATTTTCAGAATAAATGTAGAGGATTATACAAATCTCATCCAATAAAAATTTCTAGAAGTTAACTCTTCAGAGGTTGCACTGAAATCAGTGGACTTCGAGGCACAGTATTTTGCTTGCATCTTCTTGCAGCCCACTGCTAAAAAATTGACTGTTTGTTTGCATGTCTGCTGATGGCATGATAAATAAGGAGCTACACCAAACAACCAAATACAAAAACCGAATTTCTAGGAAATGACACAAGTCTTTCAATATTAAATGTTGTGAATACAAAAATAAAAAACTTCTAAGGTAAGATGCCCCATTTAAAATGTGAGAGGAAAACCTGTCACACTTAAATCGGTGATTCTTTTTAAAAAAGTACAGTGTGTTTTCTTACTTTCTAGCATTCGAGTTGAACCAGGACTAGATATGTTCAGAGACTTAATAAACTGGATTACTTTTTTTTGATAACAAGAAAAACAGCTTTGGAGAGGTAACCATTACCAAATTCTCCATAAATTAAGAGTTCCACATACAAAAAAAAATGCATAATAAAGGAGTATTTGGCTGGTACTATAAAATTTCTGTGGCAGCTGTTTAAAGAATTTGTGATTTCTCTGTACAAACCATTTTCCCTAGTATCTGAGCAGCTGAATTGTTACTGAACAACTGTAATAACATAAGTAAGACTTTCAACAGTTTGCAAGCTAAGACTTCATATCATACAAATCTGGTTCAAAGATGTTGATGCTTAAACCTGTATTTCTGCTACCCTTTGTCACATTCCTTTTATCAAATACATTCCAAAATGTCTGTCTCAAACAGCAGTTATGATGCCCCAAATCATCTCAGGATAGCAAGGCACTCTATTTCCAGACAGCTTTATGCCTGTTGGCAGTAAGAACAAGCAGTGTTGCTTTGTATTCAAGTCTGTAAAAATTAAATCATTTGCTGCTAATCATTTCCCCTAGTTAGGCTGAGAAATTCCAATTTGATTCTGGCCTAAATGCACCTACTCTACAGTAATGTTCAATGTCTGCACTAACTGCTCATGTCAAACAAGAAGAATTTTCCTTGTTCTCCACATAAAACAAGTATTTCCGTAACACTCTGCTTTCTGGTCATACAGCAGACATTAAATGATAAAGGTGGTCTCTTTATCCTTTAAATAGAAAAAAAACAAAACTGTTCCTTTTTTGCTCATTTGTAAAATGAAATTGTAAAGCCCTGGGATAAAACTGCCTTGAACCTCAAGGCTGAGTTAATGCTGCAGGGCAGGAGTGCTTCGCAGTGCCACCCCACCAGCTAAGTGAGCATCACTCAATCACTGGCTTGTCAACAAGAGCCTCTTCCCCTGCTTACCAGAACTTAAGTGTTGTCATACACATTATGGAAACAAACCATCAGCAAAAAATGCTTTCCTCCCCTCAGTGTCTCTCAGTCCCAGGTGTTCGATTCCAGTCTTGCGCCAATGAGCATTTTAATACTGGGTTTTGAGACTTGTGGCAAAGCAAGTAACAGGTATAAAAACAAGGAAACAATGCCCCAGAGCACCTGAAAAGTACTTAAAATATAAAGATATAAAAATCTGAGGTACAGATATTTTAAGTATTTGCATATTTTTAATTCTGATATTGCTAACTCATCTTATATTGCAAAAGCAGGGTCAGCTGGCAGTAATAATTTTTGTTATATTTGCTTTCAGAAAATGAAATCTATTTTTTTCTTTTTCTTTTTTTAAATTCAACTTAATAAAACCTCATCCAGTTGAAATCCAATTAACAGTTTTAACAAGTTATTCCATGGTTTATTTCACTTTCAAACTGTGAAACATAAAGAACATTACTCTGATGCACATCACAGTCTCAGTCACAGTTTGAAGGCACTGCCTACCACAAGTACTCAAGACAAAATCTGAGACTCATTAGCACAAATGTCTTCCTCCAGTTCCAAATGCTGGCAAGATACTTGTAACACGCACATGTGAGAGAAGCTCAACTTTGGGGCAGAAACAGCTTGCCTTCCAGACAAATCCCATCTATGCAATAACAAACATACTTACATTTGTTAGTGGGGCATGAGAAAACATGGAGAACCCTTCAAAGATATATTCATGGTCATCATACTCAATAACAGTAGGTCTGTCTGTCTAAAAAAGCAAACAAAACCACCATGGAGTAAACAAGAAGCAGTATTACTTCCCCCACTGAAAGCAAAATTAGAACTAGTTAGAATTATTTATAAAGATACTTACTAAGAAGTTTGTGGGAGGTGACACTGTAATTCGGTAGTGGTATAGCCTTCCAGCATTGTTGGTCATGGGGCGACATGGTTTAATAGGCTTAAAGAAAGAGATAAGTAGAATTATGTGTAAAGTCAAGGCAAATTTAGATTAAAAGAGAGAATAAAGCATTTCTAATAGCCATGAAATATGCACTAGGAAAAATTAAATAAAGCAGGTAGTCATAATTAGCTCTTACAGGAAGAAAGTGGGCCTTATCTGTAGCCGCTTCTGGAACTATTTCTAAAGCTATTCAAAGAAAAAAAAAAGTGAAAAATGCTGCTGTAGTTTATTCATTTTCCATTTGACTCCCTATCTTTCCTATGCACAGCAGTTAGCTGTCTACATACCAGACTGATCTCCTTTATTTTTGGGGGGTATTAATTTGTTTAAGGGAACTGATTTTAAAACTCCATAAAAAATAAAATTGGACATTGCCTAAGAAGATCTCAGAATGTTATCAAGAGAGACAAGTATCCACTCATCTGCTGGGGGCAAGTCTGGAGCTCCAAAGAGAAGGGACCGGACCATTACCGCAGAGCTAGGCACAGGCAGCCCTGCTCTGGCAGGTCATGATGCTTTCTGTTGATAACAGTAGACCAGCAGGCAGCCTCTCCCTGCATGCCGAACCATGCGAGGCCAAACCATAGGGATTTGCAATTTGCTCCAGCTTGTTCTGAAGCAGTCCTGTTTAAAGACCTAAAAATCCTCAGCAGTCAGACAAAAACAAGAGTTCCTCCTGCATACAATACGCTGCAGTTCAGAGGCTTCCACCAACCTGTTCAGGTGTCTCTCTGCAGGAAAAACCCCTGTGGCAAGTGGAGTACTCCACAAAACATTACAAAAGTTGGCTTTGTGCAATGGCGAGGCAGCTGCACCACTGCACAGCTCTGTGCAGCCTGCAGAATCCACCCAAGAAATAGGGTAATTATTTTGTTCAGCTGCAAATTAATTTTCTCGTTGCTATGACAAGGCAGGTAAGAACCAGCTTGTTTAAAAGCTAAGTGTGATTATCTGCAGGACACCAAAAATTCATACACCCCAAATTTTCTGAAGGCTCGAATTCCAAGCCAGCCTTGCTCCAGTGAGTAGCTGTCTTTGTGCAGCAGGTTTTATTCATCAGTTTTCTCCCACTAACATTTTCTCTCCCCTTCTCCGCAAGAAAAATACTTCAGACAATGTGGAAAAGAATTGATCCTGGAGTGATTTACAGACAGCTTCAGACCAAAGTCATTTTTCTGAAACGGAATAATTTATGCTTTGCAACATTCACAAATCCTCAACCGCAGAGAAATAAAAGGATGTTTCAGTTAATGTGTGTGAAAAGGCATAGTGAAAAATTATATTCTTAAAGAGAAGTTACAAAGATAAATTGTAAAACTACATTTTAACATTCTTAAATGTTTAGAATAAAGCTTTTTAAAACATAAAACTTTAGGTAGTCCAAGCACTACTATTTCCAGAAATACTGATCACAAAGCATGCTCTGTACAAACGAACATTTCTACAGAAAATAACCAAACAGCATTTTGAGATCATTTTTCAAAATAAAGCAACTACCATAATAACTGTTTCAGGAAGCTGATGGACTCTTCCAGGTACTCATTAAGAACTTAGCAAACTGTTTGACAGTGTGCAGTGAAGGCATGCTGTAAGTGCTGAGACAACACCTCCTCAAGGAAAACTTGCTGCTCCCCGAGCAGTACATTTAGTGACTTATTTACTTTTCCTTTTAAAGCAATCCCTTCACAAAAAAAAGGACCCTCATAACATACTCATCCACTTGAAGACAGGAGACATTTGACTACTTTTTTTTTTTTTTTAAGGCAATTGTGTTTCAGAAGCTTATAAAACCTACAACCAAACATAAACACAAAAGTTTTCCATAGCTCTCCAGTGGATTTCATTACTGGTACCGCATTTTAAATGTGAGGTTACATGAATAAAGGATTTAATGTCATACAGGAGTTTTTACTAAGCCTGTAAGCCATGAAAAAAAAAGCAAGCAAGACAGATCAACCCAGGTACAAGCCTACTGCAGCAAGTCTGTATTCAAAATTGCAATTCTTACAACTATTTACCTCTTCACCAGGATAAATGCCATGCCTTATCCCTGTTCTTCGGGCTTTAGCACTGCATTTGCATAGTGGTCCATCATTCATCTGTCAAAAACAAAACAGAATTCTGCTTTTATTGAAAAATCAAAAGTGATTGTGACTGGACGATCATGTTGGTTTCAATGCCAGAAGCAAAGAAGCTTCTAAAAACACGTCATTCTTAGATTAAGTGGATGTTCTTAAGCCAGTAAAAACGAAAACAGTATAGACTAACATAAGAAAACTGCAAAACAGCATTAGAAAAACAGTATAGACTAACATAAGAAAACTGCAAAACAGCATTAGAACTTCATTACTGATTCAGAAGCACAAAATGGATAAACGGTGTCAGCAGAACTGTACCTTCCTGCTATCATATACCTCTTTCCCACTTTATATACACACAAGCAGCATGTCATCCACCTAAAACAAATTTCAGGTCCTAAACATGCACATGCAATTATTTACGTGCCCAAACCTCCACATTTGAACAGTTCCACCCAGTTCATTGAGTGACACCTTGTCCCTGATTAACCCATCTGCAGCACGGCACTGCTAACACCATAGGGCGCAGAGAGCAGACAATTTGAAAGTTTTACTTGATACCTTCAAGTAATGGAAAAAAATCAAATGCATCCTGTGAACAGATCAGTAAAGATAAAGAAAGGGGAAAAAGATACTTACACCAATATTACATGTAGGGACATAAAGTAGCTGTATTTAAAAGGGCCACAGCACACTCTAAAGCTAGTCTCTTTCCAACTCTACAACCACATTTGATGCAGGCTATCAATCGCATCAACATCCTAAAGCTTCCTGCTCTTAACATCGTGTCCATTGCTGAAATCCAATCAGAACCAAACCAGAGACAGAGTGACACAATGGGTTCTCTTCACTTTTTTTTAATCCCACACTGAGACCCCGAGGAAAGCACAGGTTTAATGAAACTGGTTGATGTCTATAGGTAGAAATATACTTCCTCACTGCTTTATAAGGTTACAGAGCAGACAAGTTAAATAATGCAGTCAGTATCCAACTGCTCAGCACTCCCCCAGAAATGAGACCTACTTGAGGCTATTGAAATAATCACCACTTACTTTAAAAAGAAAATCTTGTCCCTAGTCCTTTTAAGCTGTTCAGCAGTCATACTGCCTCTGCTACTTTAAACGGACAGACCAAGACTGACAGAGATGTGAAGTACCTGTAAGGCCCAGGACTTGAGAAGCAAGACAGATATGTATCTACCCCTCTCCTCAACAACACAACTAACAGAGGGAAATGCAGAAAGAGCCATCACAAGGTGTAACAAAACACTGAAATACCGTTATCTTACATAAACTGAGGCAGTGGCTTCTAACCACCTCTGACCAAACAAGGAAACAAGCAGATAACACTTGCAAAAAAAAGGGTATAATGGTAGCATCAGCTATAACAATTTATTTTTTGACCACCGCAAGCACTTCTGGACATTAACTGAAGTAACAAACACCACTCAGATTAAAGGGTTGTGAAGATCCATCATAAAAGTCTGGCTACTTATTGGATAACACTATCCAACTGGTAACTTGTATGCACCAGTGTGCACAGAAATCCTTCCCATCTTATGCAACAGTGGTTAGAAAGCATTTTGGCATACCAGATAAATACCGAGGAAAAATAGCAAACCTTCAAATAAAATTACTCAGAAGAGATACAGTACTGGCAAGCTCACCATGATTTGATTTCAGCCCCTTCTAGAAAGGGAAGGGGGAGAAAATCTCAAGGAAGCCTGGGAAAAAGCTTTTCAGCAGGAAATTCATAAGCCATTTATTCCTGAAACTATTCATCCAAGTTATTCCACTTTTTATTTAGCCAATATTATAGGCTAGAACATTACTTTGAAATGTGCCCAAGAGCAACACACATTTTTTTCAGTTAAATGCCTAAACAGTTTGCTAATTTTGTTTTTCATATAAATAAAACCATCTAGCTATGCTCAGTCTTCTTTTTTATATAACTAGAAGCATAAATATGAGTTGGCAATAGGATATGCAACAGACCTTTGAATTACCATAGTGGCAATAAGCATTGCAGTATCTCTTGGCATTACGATTTGCTGCGTGCTAGCCTCATGAATCATACAAAACACCAGTTAAATTAGTTTACTGAGGTGCCATTTGACAAGGAGTTAGAATAGACTGTAAAATATTTAAGTAAGAAAGATGAAAATGGCAAATTTGCAAACAAAAGCTAGTCTTCTGTGCAATGTATACATTCAAAACACCATTTCACAAGCTCAGCAATTACATTTAATGAGAACTATAATCTCCATGCAATTACAAAAGAACCATTAGACAAGAAATTAGGAGCATTAACAGCATATTTAAAACATTATTTATTATGACCTGAGAGCTTTTAGGTGAATAATATGTAAAACAGACAAACATGCTGCCTTCCCTCCATCTCAGAATTCATCCGTGTACCTTTATCTTGGGATTAATAGGACAGCATAAGTGCACTGTTTGCAATTCAGGTTTTATTACCGCTGCCAGACATGACTGCAGCTGAATACTCCCCAGGATTCATGAGCTGGAATCACACACTTGAAATCAAAAGTGGGGTGGATTAAAAAAAAAAAAAAAGATAGAGAAGAGAAAGGAGGAGGAACTTATATTAAAATAGGTGCTGCCCAGCATATTTGACAACACTTCAGAATTTTAGGTCTACAGGGGAGAGACTTTCAGAAACATGACATTTTCCTCTCACCATACCTGTCCTGGATCATTGTACCACAGTTCTTCATGGAGACGATCAGGGTGTGCTTTTTTACGCTTAATTTCGGCAATGACGTCAAAAACTTCCGAATCCGAACTGCTAGAGCAGCTGCTGTCATCCTCAGAGTCACAGTCTGAGTCACTGGAGCTCTCTGATTCATTGAGGGAAAATAAAGTTAGATGAAACATTTCCACACATTCTCTTCCCCAGAATCAATACGTTCTCTAACATGTCATAGCTCAGCAGCGTAGTGAAAGTTATTAAAGAAGTGCATGACATTCACACTATTGAAAATGACAGCAACTGCATTTTATTAATTAAAAGCGACAGCAAATGCTATAGATATTAAAGGCCTACACCAATGGAGTGCTTGCTGTTTGGCTGTCAGGCAGCACCACTGATCAGTTATAGAAAAGCAAGTTCAGTTACTTGACAATGAAATACTTCATGGAACAAGACTATAAAGCTATAGCCAACATAAATATTACTCTAAAATTAAACAAACAAACAAACAAAAAACACAAAGAAATACATGACCTCCTGGTGTTTAAAAAGTTAATTCTGATTGCTATGAGTAAAGTGCTTATATTTAGTTTCATTTTACCTAAAAAATGCTCCCTATCTGTAGTAGGGCTTGACCTATTCAAAAGGTTCAAGAAAGCACGCGTGGATAGAATTATTACAGAATGTGCAGTTACTCTTTTTTCAAATCAAGTATCTCTAATAAATCAGTTATCACATTAAAAATCACAGATGAGAAGAAAGCTTTTTTCCATGATTGAAAAAAGCTGATGATAGCTGAGTGAATCCATGCTCAAGTTTTACAGAAACCCTGTTTCATGAGTTTTCACCGAAGCTTTTTTTTTTTTTTTTTTTTGACTTTTTCCTGTACTTACTAAAGCAATTTTTCTGATATATTAAAGGAAAGAAAAACTCTAAACCAAACCAAACCAAAGAACCCACGGGTCTCATGCCTGTTAATGTCTCCTTTGCATTGTTGTCAAAGTGATGCTACTACATGTTGGACTTAATGTAAAAACAACTGAGCCTGATGTCATATATCCCTAAACTCCTGTGGTACTTAGAAGCAACTCTTCTATATGTAATGCCATTCATTCCACCGATCTCCTCATCTCCAATTTAAATAAATACTTTCATAGCCAAGACATATAACATGATACAAGTAAGGTTTATTATTCTTGGAAGGTGGGATGTAACACTCCTTCCATTTTTTTTCATTTTACTTAAAAAGAAAGTATATTACTATACTGCTGGTGCTTTCAAATACTCTGGGGAAAAAATGTAAATGTATATTTATTAAATGTTTCCCCTTAGCTACAAGAAAGAAAAATGAAGTCAAAGAACATAAGAACAAAAGTAATAAGCTATTTTTTTAAAGGGAGAGAAAAATCAAGATGTATTTTGATACAGCCCTTAATTCAGTACAAGATGCTTGTCCTTGGGACATACGGTTTACACAGGTCATATGTTCAGTTGAAAGTATATGTGGATGTCTGCATATATATGCATATATGCGTATTCACAGAAAAATAAGTAAACATGTTTTTTGAAATTTTAAGTTTGCAGTAAATATTAATTATATTAATTAATGTGCAAGTCTAATTTTAAATGCAAAAAGAGCACGGGGCTTGTGAGAATAAACCAGGGCTCTGAAAGACCAGTATAAAATATCTGGATTTCAAGTACTGAAACAAACCTTTCATAATCTAAAAATGGTCTTGGAGTACATTGATGTCTCACTAGAATAAACATCTACTTCTAATGAAAGGCACAACCTTTTGGCTAGGTACAAAAGACAACCAACTATTAGACCCAACAGAAATATTGTTGTAGGAGAAGCTGGTACGGGCACCATGGCAGCCCAGGTACAGCGCAAATGCAGAGCCTTTGGCTCCCCCAGTAACAGTGGAACAGGAAACACAGCTAAAGTTGCTCTTGGCCCCATCATATCTTATCCTAGAGCAGAGAAGGAACATCTTGTGGAGATCCAAGGAAGTGAAGCTTTAGACAGGTAGGTTGAATGTATAAGTTTTGTCCTTCCCTTATGTGCATGAAAATACCTTCTGAATAACTGTGCAGAAGACTTTGCTAGTGATTCTTGAGTGAATTTAAACTGCAAATCTGATGTTCAAGAAGGTGTTTTCTTTACACAGCTCAAATAAAATAGGAACATTTTTTTCTTTCCTTTCATCTTTATGTTATTTTAAGCTAGCAGCACATAACTAACTGACCCTGTCGTTATATAAACTTGTATTTCAACTTTACAGATTTTGGTATTTGATTATGAAAGTTACTAGGCTCAGATCTGAGAATCTAAGCATCTCAACATGAGACCATGAAGCATCACTTACAAAGCAAGCCCAAGAGCATCTAAATTAACGTGATATGCCTAAGAATTTCTTGAACACTACTTTCATGGTGGAAAAGATACATTATGTAATACTGAGATGCTGGAAGTACAATAAGAACAGCTAACAGTTGTAAGTAAACCAAATCAGAAAAAACAGCTTTCAACGAGTGATGAGTGAATAAATTGCTAGCAAAAGCTATGCCCTGCTGTTTCAACCAGTATTTCCCCAATAACTGATACAGCTAGCAGATATATTTCTCTGTGAAAAGACCCATATGTGAACTGTGATAGTGTAGATCAACTCATATGGCTGCTTGTTATGGCACTGAATTCGTTTTCCTTCTACATTGTATTTTAGTTGTGCAATTTTGCTTATTGTGACCTTATGCAGAAATATCAGTTTTCAAAACAGCTTAGCATCACTGCTCTTGCTTCTCTTTTTTTCCTAATAAAAATGAAGAGCAGGAGGTCCTTGCAGCCCCTTATGCACCATACTTTGGCCTATCTGATAGTGCTCAGGGTACTTCCATGCCATGGAAGAGACTTCAGCATTAGGCAGTGCTGGATTCTGTTTTCCCTTAAGCCTTCTAGACAAAGCATCTAGCTCTACTTCAGTCAAAAGCAACAGTAAAACTCCATGGAACTGCAATAGAAAGGATGGATTTAAAAACATGTATTAGCCTACTGACATCATTAAACGTGCACAAGTACTAAAAAGAAAAGGTTAACTACAGTTTGCTCCATTTCAAAGCTTTGCCATCATCTCTGCATACCCAAATCTTCATCCAGTTTGGTCTTTGGTGGCTCCCATGGTGGTCTGGCTGCTTTGGCCTTTGCCTGTCGCTTTCCTAACTCCTCTTCAAACTTTTCATACAGATCTCGGAGCTTGCTTGTTCCTACTACAGTTGAGTCTCCCTGTTAATTAAAAAACAGGTAAAAAAGCAAAGGCAGTGTTGACATTACAGAGGACAAGAGAACAAAGTGTATCAGCGTTTCATAAGGAAAAGCAATGTCGAAAAGAAAAGATCTCCATTCCATAGCTCAAATGAAACATGGAAGTACTTGATCGGGCTTTAAACTAAACACTGTCATTGCTCCTCTAGGTAAATGAGCAGAGAACTTCATCTGCTGGGGAATTATCAAACCTTTGGCCTAGCCAAGCAGAGCTATGGCTAAGCATATTTAATACAGCTCAGTACTGTTTTCTAACAGCTCAGATTTATTAAAAACAGACCTTCTGTGCAAGTATTTTGTTATTCAGAAGAATCATATCACACCCTAGACACACAGAACTTAACTGATGTTGTTGCCTCCTTTGAAACACTGTCATTCTACAAGAGAAAGAAGAAACCTCCTCACTCAATTACTACTTCTTTACTCCCCCAGCAACTGTTATTGTCAAATAAAAAGAACTGACTTCCTCCTTCTGTATGAAATTTCTCCAGGGTTATGGGATGATAGGGTAATTTACGCAGTTTTGTTCAAATACAGGTGTTTATGGATAAAACCTTCTCTCCTGGAGACAAAAATATTCCTCTTTCATGCATCACTAATCTGAATGAAAATAGACTGAAGAAACATGAAAATAGAGAACACCAAAAAAGCCCTTACAGGGTTCAAGACTGAGATGGCTGGGAAGAGAGAAGGATTCAACATTGAATGACATAAAACATGATCCTGCTGAAGTACTGTCATTAATCAGGTAATCAGATAACCAATAAAGGACTGTGTACAGTGATTTCTGAATTCTCACGAACATACCACTTGATCCATAGGGTCATTTGAATAGTAGCTTTCAGAATGGGTACAGCGAACCCAGACTGGCTTAAGCAATTCATCATCTTCATCTTCATTCTTTTCAGATGCATTCTCCTCTGACTCTTTGTCTTTGATACTAGTGTAACTTTTTTCTTTACTGGCACTCTGGCTTTCAGACCACCTTTCTCTGTCCTCCTCCCATCGGGGTCTCTTCCTTTCTCTGCTTGGAGAGCAGCTTAATGGAAGAAAAACAAAAGCAATTAACTTTTTTTTTTTTAACTTGCAACGGTTAGAAGTACTCTATAGTTTAGATCTACTACAGAAAAGTTAAATTGAAAGTGCTTTTGTATTTTAAACCTTATTCAATAATTAGAATAAAAATCCACACTAGCTTAGACTGAAATTCTTACTTGTATTCTAGATCAGTTTCTTAATTTTGTTCCAAAGTTTGAAGCCCATCAACTAAGTTACCGTATTAAGTTTTAATATATATCCCACAAGCTATTTGTATGAGAGGAACAGGATCTTACTGGAAGGATTATACAGAAACCTGTTTGGCATACCGAATAAATACTGAAGGATTAAAACCATTGCTTGTGTTAGTCTAACTCTAGGAACAACACAAGCTCCAAATTTAGGAAAACTATTTAAAAAAAAAAAAAAAACACAATACTTGTCTTTAAAGCCAGTAATGTCACTGAATTCAACTACCCAGGATTTAAAAGGAAAGGAGCATCAAAACAAGAAAAAGTTCTTAAAAATATGATCTAAACATAGAACGAACTTTATGCTATCTTGGTACTTCACAGACCAGGAGCAGATGCACAAGGGAGTCTTTGAGATGCAGCCGAGTCTCCAGAGATTAATCCTGCTTCAACTCTACAAGGCCTGGAGAGAGCTGTGACATTTGCACGTCTATGAAGATGGTTATAAGATTCATCTCTGAGTTTTAAACCAGGCATGTATGCACATACACATGATGCACAGAGCCTCATAAATATGAGAGAGACCAAACCTGTCCTCCTTACCTTCCTGTTCTCTTGTAATCTTTTTTGTATGATCTGTCTGGTGATGGTGATCTTCTGCTGTCACGGTGCCTATGCCTCTCCCTCTCCCGCTCCCTTAAAGAGTTCAAAAACAGAAGTTAAATAAGAAATCTGGCATTTCTTACATTCCACACCCCTGGAAGAGATGCAGAATCAGGCTGAGATCACATTATTCAAAATGACACGACATTCAATGAAGCCATCTATCTCAATGCTATACCTAATTCATACTGTATAAAGAACTTCTATAAATTCACCACAGGACTTCTTGCCATTCGTCCTGTTCTTCTGTTACAAATAGTGAAGAGTAAGATTACTGCACCTTTAACCATTCTTAATGCCTCAAGGAACAGAATGAAAACCTTTTCCATGCACAGTAGCTTTGGAAGCACAGTGTTAACTCAAATGTTTCAAGCAAGTACTCTTCTCCTGACAGCCACCTCAGGCACATGCAAAAAAAGCTGATAGACAGAAAATCAACAACACTGCCACCATGAATCTTACCTACAAGACTCAACATGTAGATACTCATAAGGAACTCGACCACCCAAACATATGTCTGCAGCAAAACTGCTCCAGTTAACAGGAATTATTGTGTTACCTTAGGTAGCACAGATCACACACAGGCAGGTTATCAGACTAACAGCTGACAACTTGTTTGTCCACACTCATTTGTGTAACTGTCACATCTCCTAGCAAATGAGTATACTGATACACAAGGAAGCACAAATACGTGCCTTGGGTGGTTTTGTGGGTGAGCAGGATGATGAACCAAGATTTAGGAGTACTTATCTATGCTTCCATACACATATGCATGACGTAGCACGCAATTTTATAAAGCACAAAGTTCATATGAATTATCTACTGGGCTTCCCCACACCCATTCATCCTTCACCTGTGCCTTGTTCAAGCATGGATTTCAGCCTTCAGAGAGCATGCTCTGTTGCCCTCTGATTTGCTTGAGAGATGAGGATGCTGTGCAAAAAACTACACCAAGGCACCATGAGAAGATGTTGAGATACACTGTGAACTAGACCTGGAAACTGTTGACCTCAGCTAGTAACACAGAAATATTTGAGAAGGAAGCTGCTGGAAATACTTTCAAAACTTAAACCTGAACTTTTAAGAACAAACAAGTTGTGAAATTATGTGGCAAATAACTGAGTCACCTACAAAACACAGAGACTTCCACAGACTCATCATACAGTAAAGGCTCGTGACTTAAAGCCAGCCACATTTAGTTTTAGGAAAATCTTATTCTGGAAACTGAGGTGAGCAGAACCAAACCAAACGAAACCTGCTAAATGTGTTTTGTTTGTTTGCTTTTGAATACAGCTATTCTGAAATTATATCTCTGCTTTTTTAAATCAAAATAGTTTCATTTCCACAGGCACTAAATGTAAATTCATGTTTCACATGGGACACATGGAAAAAGTCAGATCTTTAGAATTAGAAGCATGTGATCCAGCTACTCTAATAAACTCAACTTTAAAGTATCTCTGAAAACTCTGACCTACATGTAGACCATTAGACAAAAAGAGCGAGCAGGAGAGCAAATTTAAGACTAAACAACTGATCGTGTGCTCTAAAACACCACGCAGCAAACTGTATTAGGCCAATTCATAGCTCACAAGCTGCTTTTATCTATGAAGCAGGGGGACAGAAACTTCATGATACATCCCAAAATTAGCAGTCCACACTCATCTACCTGAATCATAAGATACTAATGTAGCCTACAAAACTTCTTTGTTCCTTTGGACTGGTGCATGAGTTTTCACCTCAGTCCTCCCTGGACATCACTGACTGGTTTGCTAAGGTCTTCATCCTGAACTGAACTGAACATGCCTACACTGGTCTCCCACAAGGATGAGGATGGAGCAGGATGAAAAACAGTGTGAAAAAGTTTTTTTAGTAAAAAAAATAACTTACTGTTGCTTTCCAGGGATTACATGTGTGCATCTATCAGGCTATAGACCCCCAGCCTGTTTGCTTGCTGCCTACAAATACAGGGCTTTCTCAAAGGGCAAATTCAGGTAACATCTGGGACCATAAGTCTCACACCTAAATCTCTATTTTTTTATTATTATTTTTTTTAAGTACTGGGACTTACTGTTTTTAAGGCTCAACTCTGAACAAGGTCTTCCACACAAAATTGTGCCAACTCTACTCTCCTGCCAGATATGTATAAAATCCTATGGTAGACTAGAGCACCACTCAGTTTTCAAACAAGCTCCTGTGCTCGCAGCCATTGCCACAGACAAGGGGAACAAGTCTACGAGCCTGCAAAGCTGAGGCTGGAGCAGTGCATCTGAAAGATGGCAGAACAGCAGCTCTTCCCACCAGAGATGAACACTGGCTACCTCCTACATCAGGAGGAAAAACAAGCATGAGGAAATACATGAATTCAGCCAAATACTGTAGAGCAGCAACCTCTCCCTTTGCAGGCAGAAGCTATTCCAAGTTACCTGCTACGCTCGTAACTTCTATGATGAGGTGATATCCTTCCTCTGTCATAATCTGTCCGGTGCCGACTGCTTTCCTGCCTCCTCCTGTCAGGGCTCCGGCCTCGATCCCGCCGATCCCCGTGGTTATTGGACCGATGCCTGTCCCCGTGGATGTGACTGTGCTCACGATGCCGGTGCTCATCGTAGTGCTTGTTCCTCTCCGGAGACCGTCGATCGCTTTGCGACTTCTCTCCCTGGTACTGGCCCGTGTGCCGAAAATGGGTGCTGCCACCACTGCTGTTGGTTGTGCTGCTCTGAAAAGAGCCAGAGTTGTGCTGGTAGCTGTTGAAGTTGGGTGGTGGGAATGACTGCTGCGAATACCCTGTGGAATACACAGGCTGGTAGCTGACCTGCTGCGGTATGACTGGCGGTGGGGGAGGATGTGGTACTGCCGGAGGGGGCATCATGTATGGAAACGTGCTTTGCCCAGTAGGAGTTGCTGGCACGGGGGCATTGCTAGGGGTTGGCACTGGTGGAGGAGCAGGAGGGAAGCATGGAGGCACCGGGAAGCTCTGCCTCATCTGATGGCTCGGAAACGGTGGCCTCATGGGACACTGGCTGATGGGATTTTGCGTGGAAGGGGGCACTGGAGGAGGATACGGCACAAAGTCTGGCCTGGGTGGCATGTAACCTGTGGCCGGAGGGTTTGAATAGGAGGTTGGAGGTGCAGTCTGCTGGTCATACTGGTATTGTACAGAGGGCTGCTGCGGGTGGATCTGCCGCAGGTTCTGAGGGCGGTAGGTCTGTGTGGAAGTTCTTGCTCCTGGTCCCCCCTGACCACGGGGACATCCTCGTCCCGAATGGAAAGACATGGCTCACCTTTAACAAGGAAAATAAAAGTCCACTGTCACACGAGTTTTATGGGAGGCCCTTAGCACATTTGCAAGAACTGGTCCTGAAACACTGAAACTGTTTTCTGCAATTTCCTCTAACAGAAGTGGATGATGACCACCACCTTTCAGTGGGAACTGTGCATTCCTCAAAGTGCTAGTACAGGTCATTGTGGCCCTTGATTCCTCTAAACCTTTAATCCATGACGTTAGTCTGCTAGTAGTAATCCAGAACCCAAACTGGACCATGCTCTGGCTTAGGGTAATGTTTATTCTAATGCTTGATTGATATGACTGGCCATAGGTGCAAACACCTCTACTAACATGCACTGGATACTTTGATACAAAGCCTTTAGGTGCACTGCATCAAAGAAACCAGTCACTCTAACAACCCAGATCCCCCAGTATGGAGTCGCTTTCTAGCACAGCACATTGTTCTACACCAGGCAGAATGCCTGTTCTGATACCTAGTCACAAGCTACCTGGTCCAACAAACCATGTATGTTTTAAATGAGTTATGTAGCAACTTACACTGAAAATGTGTGTCCCATGTTTAGTACAGAACCAAGTTCAACAGAAGTTTCACCATATTTTAAGGTAGCCAGATAAATGTTTGTGGGATGAGAATGTTACAGGTGACAGAAGACTCATCAGGTAGGCCATGCTGGTAGTCCAACTTCTTTGGAATAAATGGTTTCCAAAACTCCTCAGCTTTCTGTGAGACCCTGTTACTTTACCAGCAATTGCCAATGCTTCAAGTAGGCTGAAGGCTTGTTCAGAACTCTACATGTACTTAATGCATTGTACAACAGGCAGCTTCTGGTGTACAAGTGTGAGAATAGAAAAGAAATAAGGGGAGAAGGACACACCTCAGGGAGGAGGAACCAAGAGGACACAAAGCATCTCTTGGTACGCACCACTGGTGTGGTGTTCATTCCCCCCCCTCCTTCAGAGCACCCTGCACAAAGGCCAGAGTAAGTCAGAGTCCTGCGTTTACAGGAGGAAACCTGTAACAAGGTTTCTTGAAGAAGAAACATGATAAAGAAGTCTATATTTTCATTATTTTGCCTGGCAATAACACATTTTTTCCTTTTGCCACTGTTAATTCCAGTCCATTAGGAACTGAAGTAGTTTTGCGTAAGTTCTCAGGTCATGATCTTACGTAGCCCAGCCCTGTGCCAGTATATTATTTTATATGCTTTGCTGGCATTTACATACATCTTTTATTTAAACAGGCTGAACTAAACTTTCGTAACCTTAAAATAAAGCAGAAGCCGCTGCTGCAGTGTGCCTTAGCTTGCAGCATATTTCGTTTTAAAACACCAGGGCACTCAGACAAAAGGTCTTGCTCTCAGACATGGCTACAAGCCCTCACCACCAGAGAGCCACACTGGTCCCACTGCCGCAGCTTGGCGGCTTCAGAGTGATAAAACCCTAGGCGAAGAGACTAGAGAAAACCGTGTGAACTGCTTTTAAGCCCCCGTGTTATTTTAAAGCTCCCTCCGCTGCAGTTTCTGGTCGCGCTGTTTCCATTGAAGCAAACTGGAAGGCGCCGAGGACAAGCCACTGGGGAGAACAAACCCATCCCGCTGGTGCCAGCCGTCCCTTCGCTAAAACCCCTTCCCCTTGCACCCACGCCACATCCACCCCCTCCCCGGGCTCCGTGAACGAAGCCCCCAGCCCGGCCGCGCTCCTTCCCCGCTCCCCTCCCGGAGCTCGCCCCGGGACCCCCTCGCCCCCCGGCAGCGAGCCGAGCCCCCAGCCCACCTGCCGCCCCTCCGCCGAGCACAGCCCGGCCCGGCCCGCAGCGCCCCGGCTCCGGAAGAGGAAAGCAATGGGCGGGCAGGGAAGGGAAGGGAAGGGAAGGAGGCAGGCGGGAGGGACGGAGCCATGGAGCGCCGCCCTAAGGGGCCGGGCTCGCTGAGCCGCCATGAGCGGGGCCGGGGAGGCTGCTGGCCCCGCCGGGCGGCGGCTGCGGGCGTACACGGCCCTGCCGGTGCGGGTGGTGGAGGAGCACCAGGACGTGAGTGGGGCTGGGGGTGTGGGGGAGCCCCTCCGGAGGTGGGGGAGCCCGGGGAAGGGGAGCCCCAGCGGGACAGCGCAGCCAGCCCCAGGCGCCCCCTTAATAGCAGCGTCACCTCGCTGCCCCTATATGAAGTTTAGCACACAGGTGGCTTCAGTTTCCCTCCCCATGCAGCCATTTGGGCATCTCTGTAAACAACTTGCAGCGTTTGCATATAGTGGTATAAGCATAACTTTCATTACGCTTCTGTTTTGAGTTAGCTTAGCGAGGGCTATTCACGCTAAATACATGCTCTGTGTTCTCACTACATGCATATACGTGCATGATCTGCCGTGTAAAGCATACGAGACCTTTCATCACAAAGCATCCAAAGCTTTATCCAGCCCATTTCTGGTGCTGATCAGTGGGAAGGGGTCGCTAGGTGCATCGCGCTATGATTAATAGTCGCAGCTGGTGTGAAGGCAGTTTTGTTCTCAGCCCAAAGCAGGAGAAAGTTAGAGGTTTTAGGCTCTTCTCCCTTCCCCCATCCCTTCCTAATCTCACAGTTTATGCAAACAATGAGATGAAACTTGGGTTTAAATCGCAAAAGTTGTAGGTTGTAAAGGTAGGCCAGATTATTGCCTTTTCCCAAAGATGTTACAGTCATGGAACAAGGGTACCCTTGTTATTTTTGACCTTGTTTTATTTACTGCATAAGGAGCGGGTAAACTGAGTAATTTATATCTAGACAGGTGAAATAGAGTCCAAATTTCTGGTGTTGGCCAAATTGTCCAGTTATATCCATGCAGTGTTCAGGACTTGTGATCTTAATCGGTTGTATTCCTAAAAGGTAGCTCTGCTTCTGCTTTAGCATAGAGTAATTTTGTTGCCCAGTCCCTTTATAGTCTCCACCTTCCCTGTGTAGTAGGGCTGGGATTTGCAACTCTGGATGGATTTGTTCTGGCAGCTGGGGCAATGTAATTGTAACTGGGCAAAGCTTTACCTCTTGCAGTCCAGTGAGAAGCACTGGGAAGCAGCAATCAGTGTTTTCCATTCACCACCTGACCTTGTTGCACAGCAGTTACTTGTTATGCTATAAATTGAGGAGCTGAGGTGGTTCCTATTTCTTTATTAGCATGTACCTTTGAGTGAAGACTTTTGGTAGGGGGTGAGGCTAGGTACCTGGGAAAGGTAGTATATTGCAGTTATTAAGTTATACAGGTATTAGGAATCAAATTTTTTATAAGCATGTGGACATAAACATCAGCTAAAGTGTAAACAATGGTGGCATTAGTTTTCACTCTGTATCAATTAACTTCTAAAATCTGAGTAATGAAGAGTTTTCATCTCTGCAGCACCCATGCATAATGAGTAAGTTCTATGGTATGGAAAAGGCAGCGCAGGTGCCATGTTCTGCAGAAAGGGGAAGATAAGTTAGAAATGGAATAAAAGAAAAGCCTGGTTGAAAAAGAAAAGCAGTTGAATGATTAGTGAGACGAGCCACTGCAAAGAAGAATTTCTACAAATAAGGAGAGGATAGAGCTGTGATTTTCTAGCAGCTTCTCATCTATAGAGCTCTCAGGCTCAGTATTTGCAGCTCACGAGCAGCCTTGTTGCTGGAATTGTTTCCCCTTTGTATTGTTTTCTGTTTTCTCCTCCTTCCAATACGTAACCCAAATTCTAAGAGAGTAAGAGTGAGACATGTTTTTGCTGATAAAGCTGTTGTGTTTATCATTTCAGGGGTTGCAGTAGAATTGTTTTTGTTCGTGTTCTTTTAGGTGCTGCCTTTCATCTATCGTGCCATTGGTTCAAAGCATCTTCCTGCCAGTAACATTAGCTTTGTTCATCTTGACTCCCATCCAGACCTCCTTATCCCTGTGAATATGCCTGCAGACACTGTATTTGACAAAGAAGTGCTTTTTAGGTAAGTCCTACATACTGCATCAGAACACTTTAAATCCACTTCTTGCTGCATTTGGTTTGCAGACCTGTGTGTGAAGTATGAACAAAAAATGTATAAATAATCCTTGAGCTGTATTCTTTTGTCTTTTCACTTTTATTCAGAACTAAATGATTTTGCATGGAAGAAGTTGTGTTGTTTTATGAATGTGGTCAAACATTTATGTTATGTGTCCAGGAGGTGTAAGATGTATGAATTGACTTTGTTTAGTTGTTTAGTAACAGATCATGTTATTAAACCAGATGGCTCCCCGGCTAACAGGACAGCATTCTGAGTGGATGCTTTTCACCTGGAGAGCTGTGGTATTAGAACAGCTTTTCTCTCTTCGTACTGAAAAATTGACTGAGAGTGAAATAACATCTGCACTGACAAGATACAAATGTGAAGTTGAAAAAGTTAATTAAGACCAGTGTTTTTCACCAATTTCTTGTGTAGGCAAAAAAACACACAATGATCTGTGTTCTTGTCTTTTTCTTCCTGTTTTAAAATAAATATTGATTGTTCCAGTATTGTGGTGATACACAACAGTGACAAGAATGACATAAATAGTATATTAGCAATTGTATCACTCTGCCTATTGTCTGTATTTGTCGTCGTTGTTGTTGGATGAATAAGAAGCCTTGTGGGCTGCATCATACACCCAAATATTTTGTAGGTTTCGGTTGACTCACTTTCACTACTGAGGTTATATTTGAAGTCTACTTAGAGCAATTTACAATAAAACGCTCCCTTGAGCTCTGTTCAGAATAGCATTGATGATGCACTTTCTCTCTGTCAGATGTATCAATAGAGAGAAGGACAAGTCCACATACTTTATAATCAAAGTACCATGCTAAAAGTGAAGCTGACTATACTTCCTAGTAATTTTTTTAGTTTTACTACAGACATTTTTGATTCTTCTTATAAATCAATATTGGTTGTTTTTCTTTTCTTGTTTTAATTTCTGATGATTTGCATGGGGGCTTTCAAGATGTGGAATGTATTTGCGCTGTTCTTGACCATGTTTTCCTTGCAAGAAAAGTAAGTATTATCCCTGGTCTTTCCTTCTTCATTACAGTGAATTAAGTATTGAGAACTGGATTATGCCTGCTGTTTATGCTGGCCATATTTCTCAAGTTCTGTGGCTTCACCCACCATGGGCTCAGCAGATCTCAGAGGGAAAACACAATTTTTTAGTTGGGAAAGACATATCAACAACTACAATCAGGTAGGTTGTCTGCTATCATATGTTGGTAATATAAAAGACACGTAGTTTTAATTGACCTTTCTTATATTTCTTGGATAAAGGTAGTGATACATATGTTTTTCGCAATGAAAAATACAATCTGTATTTGTGAGTTCTTTAGGACCTAATGCGACTATATGTTTTAATGGGTACAGTTTAAAATGTGCCTTGTAGTCTCTTTTCTAATATGTAATTCAAGCTATTCCCCTTGTCCATCACATGCTTCAACCTGACTAATTTCTGTAGCAGCCCTCCTCTGTTAGATCCCCTTCTGTTTGTTGACATCTCTCATGTCCTGTGGGCCTGAACCTTGGCAGAGTATGTACAATGTGACCTCACCAGTGCTGAACACAAAGAGAAAGAAGTCTCTTCTCTTGGCATTTTGGCTAGTACAGAGAAATTTTGTCTAGTACAGATAAATTAATGAGTAGTCTTCACTGTAGGGGTGTACAGCTTGGTCATGCGTAATTTGCTTCCTACTGTGACTGCCCAGTCCTCCTCTGTAGCACCTTGCTGGTCTGTGCCAACCTGCTACTACCACATGGGGTTTTAATGTCTCAGATGTGGGACCTTTCATTTCTCTTGAAATTAATGAGATGTTTGTAGGTTGTTCCTCTAGGCTGTCTACACCCCTCTGGAGGCCAACAATGGGGAACTAAACTTCTGCTGTTCATAAAATTATATGTCTGTGGTTGATGGATGGTGGTGCCCTGTAATTGGCAAGGTCTTAATACAAGTGAACAGAAGTTCACTTCTTTCAAGGTTTTTTCAGTCTGAATTTGTTACGTAAGGCTTAATGTGCTGAAATATGGCTTGAAAATAATATTCTATACACTTCCAATCTAGGTGGAGTTTTTATTTTGATTATTTGTTGTTGTTTTTAAATTAAGTGGATATGTAGCTATTAATCCTTGTTACCTGCTCTCCTTACACCTAGAATAAGGAATCATATGTCAGAGGTAGAGAAAAGTTAAACACTATTAATGCATAATATTTTACTTATAATAAAGCAAATTATATCCATGGGTTTCACAGCAGTTCTCAAACATAACTAAAATATTTTTTCTAAAGAAAAAAGGCGATCTAAGGCAAAACATCCAGTGCTTTGCAGCCTTATATGCCGTAACATTGACAGTATCTTGTTAAATTCTTGATGTAAGATATAATTCAATGTCAAACTAATCTTAGTAGCACATAATATAGAATATATCTTTCTCTACCTATTAGAAGCCTTGTAGGGCTATCAAAAAAATTCCACAATTTTAATGTAGCGATTCAGCATTGAAGAGATAAATATAATCTTCAAGTGTTTAAATGGGAATTAAAATAAATAACTTTGTATATGCAGTTCTATTGGCTTTGTTACCCACCAAACATCTATTCATTTTAAATGCATGTTTTTTTGCTAAGTTCTTTGCAAAATTCTGTATTAACTTTGAGTTGCTGTCAATTGTAGGGTTACAGGTACAGATGATTACTTTTTAAGTGATGGTCTTTATGTCCCTGCTGATCAGCTAGAAAACCAGAAGCCTTTAAATTTACATGTCATTCTCATTAATCCTACGGAAACATCAAACAACCAGGAAGAAAATGGCGAAGTAATATCTGCTAAGAGACTGAAGCTAAATACAGATGACACAGCAAACACTGTTGCTGCCTCTTCATCAGTGACTCCTGGTGACCTTGAACACAGCTCCTCAAGTGTGAAGAACAAGGAAATACAAAATGCAAGTGCCCTGAACAGGGCAGAATGTTCATCTTCAAGCTCTCTCAGAAATGACGAATGCCCAGTAAGGGAGGTTGCTAAAAATATCTGCCAAGTTCTTCAGAAAGGAGATGCATTTGTTTTAGACATTGACTTAGATTTTTTTTCAGTTAAGAATCCATTCAAAGAAATGTACACACAGGTAAGCATGACAATGGAGAGTCCTCTTACATTCATAGAAGAGTACTAGTCCTCCTAGTGCTTAGTGTCTATGGAGAAACTGTCATCTAATTTAAATTAGCAGATCAGCAGAATCATGATTGATGAATCACACTACTACTTGAAGAGAGACAGTTTAAGGGAGTGCATATTCCAAAGAAGTACAATAACCTAATAGAGCTAGGACCTTACATTTGAAATAGGTGTAGAGAAAACATTCAGGCGTAGAGTTATGTGGCATGCTCCTGCTTGTTGTGTGGGCAATAAAAGCTGCTTGGATTTCCAAAGTTCATGTCCCAAGTACCCAAAGAAGGATTGATTAATCAGGGAGTGGTGGCAGACTGTCTTTCTCACCCCTTCCAGTAGTATGCTATTGGAAAGCCACAATGGTACCCTGAGACTGCCTTTCCAAAAGATCTGGTGGTGTTGATTATTCAGAGTGGTAACTCCTCTTGATGAGAGGCTGTGATTGATTTCCTTTGTCTGGACTGCTGAGTGTAATGATGAGCAAGCAGCTGTTGTTTCTGATGCTGTGGCTCTGAGCTTAAGACTCTGCACCATATTCAATGTATAGCTTGTGGGCACAGAACTTACCTCACTTTTGTGATGTTGTAAATATGTAGACCTTCAGCTGTGTCAAGCAGTTAGGAGCTTTTCTTTATGTGAACAGGCTTTTTAGGAACTAACTCATCTGCCCTGAAAACTGTGTGCAGCATTTGGGCTTAAAAATTTACTGCAATGTTATGATTGTTTCTAGTGATTAAAACTCTTCTTAACACTACTTTAACTTCAGTCTGTGCTGGAGAACACTGACATCTTTGAGTTTTAGCTAGAGTACTGCTTCCTTGTTCAGTGTATAGAAGTGAATGCAGTGTCCCTGACCTCTGTTAGTTTCTGACATCCAGTATTTATAATCCCGGTACCTTCCAAAAATAAGCAATCCCAATCATTCTGAATCACAGAAATGTAAGACAAAGTGGAAGCACCACAGGGGTCTTGTCATGTAAGAATACCCTCTTAGGGCTTACAATACATTCTTCATAAAGCCATAGAGGAGTCTTAATGCGTTTTGTTTATTTGGAGGTGGGAACGGATTTTTTTTTCTTGTGCTGAGATAAGTTCTCAGCTCTAGGAACCACTTTTGGAAGTGGAGTTGCACAGAGCGCCCAGTATTACCTTTTTTGATAAGAACTTCATATGTGGTTAACATTTCTTAACTACGTTCCCTTTTCTGTAAATTACAGTAATTCTATCAGAAAATGTTGCTCAAGTTAACTATTGGAATATAAAAATCCAAGGAAAAGCTAAAAAGCAAATACGTCTCACCAATCAGAAGAGTATTCTCCTTCCACCAAAAAAAAAAACAACAACCACCAAAACACTAAAATCCAAAACAGTGCACTAAAGATGCTTTATATTTTTGTAAAATTTATGGTCTCTTAGTCTACCATTTCTTTCTCCTGAAAAATTCCTGTGTTCACCTTTTCAATGCTGTTAAGTAAATAATGAGATATGTTTATTGTTTAAAGAAACTTGAATATTATCAAGGAGTAGGGCTGACAAGCCCCTGTTACTAGTGAACTACTTGTTCAACCAGCCTAAAGCCTTTAGCTGTCTGTTTTTCCTTTAAAATCCTACTTATTTATCAGTCTTATTCATCAACTTATTGGGACGTTAGATCAGCAAAATAGATGCTTAGCTTCAGAGACTGGTTAATTAACAGAACTTGTAAATACATGTATGTAATTTATACAGCTGTGTTACTGAAGTCAGGTTTAAAGTTTAGCTGTTTCAGAAATGCTTGGCTGAGGCTGTGAAGTAGTGCTCTCACAGCATCTTCCTCACCTGCGTTTACAGGGATTTGTCTGTGTTACTGGCATAGAAAAGTTACGTTGAAGTGTGGGTGGTGTTTGTTGTTTTTTTTTAAGATAGATGGCTTTGAAGTTCCTGGTTGTCATTTGAAGAGACTAATTTTCTCCCCTTTTTCTTTTTTGAAGACAGAGTATGAGATCTTACAAGAGTTGTACAACTTCAAGAAGCCTCATAAGGATGCAACAGAGGTAAGGCATTTCCTTGTGGGATACATTATGTGGGAATGATTCTTTTGATTTATGCAGTAAAAATGAATTATGAGAAGGAAAGAACCTATGAAAGGTGCTTAATGAAGTGGTTTCCAATTAAGCTATGCAGCATGCTGAATACTAATCAGAAGTATCTTAGGAATTTTTTATGTTAAATATGTAACCATGTAAATATTTAGCATGAGAGTAAACACTAATTTCTGTAAACAAATGGTAATTGACAAGATAGAAATGAAAATACAGTAAGTCATCTGCAGTCTCTCAAGGTTCAATGTTTTTTTTTCTCCCTTTAGGGTCTCCTTCTCCTTGCCCTAGTTGTTCTTCCTTGATAGTGAAAGTAGTGCTAAATGCCTAATTGATATTTTATGTATTTATTTAGATGTGGAAGGGCTGGTATTGTGCCACTGCAGTGTACTTCTCTTTGTATGTGTTGGGTATTTCTGAATCGTGGAAACATACACCTGCTGCAGCTGCCAAATGTTTATTTAGCCCTGAGCCTAAACCATGTATAGAGTCATATTAGTGGTCATTATACCACATAATTTCTAAACAAGAGCTTAGCTTTGCTTTTATAGTCATCTGAAGGCTTTTACAGATGATTATAAAAGAGAAATTTTACAGAGAGAGTGAATACATATAATAATCCGAGATTAATAAATCTTAATTTGTTAAAATAAAGAAATGGAGATGTGTCAAATTGGTTTTCATATTTCTTAGTCAATCTGCAAGACTGTGGTGAAAACAGGTACCTACTTAAAAGGTATGGAAATGTGGTAGGGGAAAAGGATTGTGATTAAGTTCACAATGTGATTTCAGGGCATGACACATTTATTTAAGACGACAAATTTATTGGAGGCAATTGAAGTAGTTAGCAGAAAGTGAGTAATAGGTACAGAACTTAATGTAAGACCAGATCTATGGATTGGTTTGTAGTGAGACAACTAACTTAAAGGGTCCAAATTCAGAAAACTAGAGAAATCAGAGTTTTTCCAGGACTCAAAAGTATTCTAGATGTCTTGTCTCTGAAAATCTGTTAGTTATTCCAAAGTACAACTAGATGTGTATTTCTATCATAGTGCAAGGTAAGTTAATGGGGCTTTTGTTTTCCTTTTATTTTTTCTAGTACAGATAGAGATTGGATATATTTTTAAGGTTAATTACTGGTGCTGCACAGAAAGATGTCTTATTCATCCCTCAGAAACCTGAAGGTGTATTTCATGAATAGCTGATACCCTCAGCTATTCTTAATTTAGCCTGAAGCTGACAACACTAGCGAAAAGAAGCAGCATCTGTTATATGGTAGTCAGCAGCATCCTAAGAGGAACGACTGTTCTTAATTTATAGCCATTTATACCAATGTGCTTTGTAATTTTCCTTCACGCAGTGCTGCACTGAGTCTCTTTTACAATAAATGTGCTAAACGTTGCTTTTCATTTGATATGCTATATAGGACCTCCCTCTGCAAATATTTATATGCACAACTTGTATGCATGTGCATTTGTAGCCTTGCTTATTCCAAGAAGATTGCCTCTTCGTGTATTATGAACATTTTAAGAAAGTGCATAAACTTTTGCAGGATCACAGCCATAGCAAGCATTTTAAATTAATTCCAAATTCTTTCAGGCATGCATGCAGAGCTGCAAAACCTTCCAATAGCACATTTTGTGTTGTTTTTTTTTCCTGAAAAAATTTTCCATTTAATTGAGTAATACTCATAATTCGTATAAAATTAAAATCTTTCATTATAACGATGTAAAGCTTGCACTCAGAGTTCCTGTGTATTAATATTAAATTAATCAAATACTGCAACATTTCAATGCTATACAAACAAATCCGACAATACCATTTCTTTGCTCTTATCTTTGTTCTTTGTAAATTCTACCAGAATGTAGATGCAGCTTTTTCTATGCTATAGGAAAGACAGAGCAAAGAGGTGTGTTTTTCTGAAGGTACCAGTTTCTGCAGGCATTCATTCTGATCATCTTGTAAAGGTGTTCTGTAGCAATAAACTTGTTGTTTGTTTCCCCACATACACTAGATCAATTAAGCCATGATTTAGCTAGGAAAATCATTCTTGCCTCTTTTTCCTAACATGTTTTTATATGTGTATATTTAAAGGAAGGCTTGCTGGATTGTGTTGAAAACCGTGTTCATCAGCTAGAAGATCTGGAAGCAGCATTTGCAGATTTGTGTGACAATGACGATGAAGAAACCGTACAGAAGTGGGCTTCATATCCTGGGTAGGAGATCTCTAAATGGCTTAAAACCCTCCTGCCATTGGTTTATTCCCGTAGCCTTTGGAGAAGAATCTTCATGAACTGGTGACACAGTTAACAGTAAAGTGTTCTTCCTTATTCCCATCATATTGGAACTCTTCCTGGTCAGCTTATTAAGCTTAAGTAAGTTGAGATGACACAATTTCAGATAAGTAAGCCTGTTTTTGATTCCTTTAGATCAAGCTCTTTCCTGCTAATACTACTAGAATAATCTCCTCTTCTGAAAGACCTTTACCTTTCCCATACTAGTATGGGTAGGTTTTGATTCTTCTTGGATCTCATTACATTAGCACCTTCCTTTCCCTTATCTAAGATTCAGCTGTCTATTGCCTCCCCCCAAAAAAAGGCAATTTACCAGTGCCAGTAAGGTTTCTTTCCTGCAACTGCTCCTTTCTTGGGAGCCTTTCTGGAGCACAGTAGACAAGGCTCTCATTCCTGATCTATTGCAGAAGCAGTGCTGCAGGAGACCTCCAGATTTACCCTGGTGGATAGTCTTGAAAAGTGTCAGAACTGCAGACAAGGTCATAGCTCTGGAAGAAGTCTTCTATTAGAATAACTCTGAAGAGGAAAAACAGTATGTACTATAAGGCAGCAGAGTCAAAAGGATGTGATTTCAAATGAGTTTCCTGAAAAATATGTGATAGCTATCTGTATATTTCAGTTTTAAATGGAAGAATACTTAACTTGTGGACCTGTATATTCACATACTGTTTTTCCTAAACTTTTTCTTAAGGCCAGGAATAATAACTATAATTTAGTCTGTGTAAAAGACATGTCTTAGATTTACATCTAAGAACTTAAGTGTTCAGTCTTCTTAAGTTCAGTTTTCCTTAATTTCTGTAATGCAGTTGTTTAGGAACTGATTAGTCCAGCACTTTGCTAACAGAAAATGTGGGAATCTGGATGGGATCTATGCAAGGCTACCAGATTTTCTTTGCTTTTAGAAGAGCAAGTCTGACAACGCAAAAGTTAAGTCTGTCTTCAGTGCCACATGGCGAACTTTTTATAAGATCAGCCTTATAGAGGCTGATTTCTGCATGAACATTCATGCAAATTTCCTCCTCTCTGGAGGGAAGCAAGTTTGGTGAAATTTTGTGATCGATGTGAGGCAGAACTCTCATAAAAAGCAACAAAATATTGGGGTTATACAGAAGGGCTGCTTTGGTGCTACAGAAGTCCTTGCTTTCTGTGGAAGAATGGAAATGAGTGAAAGGCTGCGTACATGAGTGAGGGTCCACAAAACATGTCAGTGGCATCTCCTGTGCTTCTAAATAAATGTTTTAATCTGAAAAGAAACTGAGCAAAAGACCAAGTTTTCCCTTAATAGGAAGATTATTCATTTTTGCTGTTAAATACAGCAGTTACTGCCAGACTTCTGTAACAATCAATGCAAGTATATCGAGTTAATAAAACTTTTGAGTGACAACAGCTTCTCTCTAGGTCTGCCCTGAAAGAAAGGGGAAGAGGCCTTGCAGAGTAGGTATGAATAGTAGGGTTTCCTGAGACCTAGGGAAACAGCAAAATAATACTGATACTCTCAATTTTTCTTAGGTACAAGATGACATGGGCAACATAACTTCTACTTTTTTCTTTCTTTTTTTTTTTTTTAACTTAGCTTAAATGTATCAGTTTTTAAGTTTTTACATAACAAGTTCTGTTTTGTTTTTTTTTTTTATTGCAGAATGAAGCCCCTTGTTCAGCTAGTTCACAGTTTGAAAAGCAGGATGGAGAGCCCAGACTATGAAATGGTAGGTCACTGTATAAAGGAGCAGAAAGTTGGTAATTTCCAAAACATATGTTCAACAGGGAGGGAAAAAGTTACGTTTAATTTTAGACTTGACTCTTTGATTCAGTACTTCTTTGGAATTTTAATAGTTTTTTTTATGTTACTGCTTAGAGCAGCTTTTTTTAAAAGCTTTTGAATTTTTATTGATTTTTTATATGAATTTTTATTGAAATTTTGTATGAATTTTTATTCTGCTTGTCTATATTTTATATTGTCTATATATTTATGCAACATTAATATGATATTTAGGACACTCATGTCTCAAGCTGCTTCTTTTGAAATTAGTTTTCACTTCACCAGGGTCTGTCAATATACTTTATAGAACTTAAGGTACCTGCTTGTAAAAGATCAGGCCTGCCATCTTCAAGGACTGCAGCATGCTCTGAATTCATAGGAGAGGTACATTGCACTGGAGATAATGAAACAATCCATGTAAACTCAGGATTTTTTTTTTTTGTTTGAGTACTAGCTGGGAATAAAAAACTTACTGTCCGAAGGTGTGTAAGTTACCACTTGGGCTAGGGATAGCAATTTAGGGATTTCTTATGTAGACAAGCCATATCAATACTTTGTTTGTATGACGAGTGAAAATCTGTTAATTGTCTGTTAATTACAAAATGAAAATATGTTTAATTTACATGTAGGTCCATCAGGCTGGTCTGACCTGTGATTATATGGAGCTTCCCCACCATGTTAGCACGGAAGAGGAGATTGAAGGCCTCATACAATCCACTAAAGTTCTACTGAAAAACATGCCTAAGCCCACACTTGTGACAATTGCTCGGTAAGATGTGTAGATTCTTTAAAACATTCAGGCAGCTTTACAAAGCTAAATGATTCTATGAATATAACATTGGTTAATATATCTTTTTTAAAAAAATCCATCTTCCATTGGAAAACTTAGTGTACTGAAAATTGACATTTGAAAGCATTAATCATAAGGCAGTGACAGTATACTGCTTAAGGGAAGGTTCTGTGCTGATGGCCAGTTTTACTAGGCTTCAGAGTGGCCAGCACAGATTTCAACAGCAGTGAAAACATGATGACTTAATGAGTTTCAGTGCAGGCTATATAAAGCCTATGATGAGGCCTTGCGTGTGTTGCAGTGGATGGCTGTCACTGAGGTTCATATTACCTTTGCTACTTCTGTTAAGCAATTTAGAGTAAAGCTATCTTGAACAACCTTGCATGGGCTGAAACTGCCTTCTCTACTCTTGTGCTAGTATTCATTACACTATTGCTAAGATCTGTTTTCAGTGAAATTTCTCATGGAAAAAATCTTGATTAGGTGGGACAGGTTTTCATCTAATAATCTGAAGGATATTTATATTCTAGAAAGCTCTAATGACGTTTTGCGTAGGGTTAAAATTACTCTTCCAGGACTGTAAGGGAATTATTTGGGAGAACAGAATGGAGTTGGGGCCAATGTACTACCCTATCCTGGGAGAACTTAATTTGAAGACCACAGTGTAACTCTTAACAAACTATTGCAACTTACTCACTTGAAGACTACCATATGTGCCCTAAAAGTACAGGCAGCAACACTAGGATCTGACATGAAATAATTTGTGTCAACAACAAATACCATGGCAAATACCTACAACAAAAGAAAGCTGTATTTTCTGTGCCAGCCACAAAATTGTTATGCACTGTTGCAGAGGAAATAGAGAATAATTTATGTAGGTCTTGAGAGATCTGAAATCCTAGAAATGTAGCTCTTTTTTTTTTTTTTTTTTTTTACCAGCATCTGTATGTGGTAAATATTGTTATCTCAGGAATTACACAGATTATTATTTTTTTTTTAAATTTCCTACCCATTTTAACTAGTAGTAATTGAAGTTTTCAATCTACCTTTCCACCAGTACTTTAATTGGATTATTTGTTTGAATTCTGATTGGCAACATGTTGTGTTAGAGTTGGAAGTCACGTTTCTGATCATCTGTGGGCTTTCTGTTCAACTTCAGGCAAATTGTAGTTGTTGAAAGCAGAGAGGAAAAGCACAGTAGTATGCTTTGAAGAGATACTGGGAGGCAGAACTTTTCATGCTTTGAAAGTAGCTTCAACACCCTGGATACAAAGCATTACAAGAATACAAATTAATATCTGTACTCCCTCATTGTTTTATTCAAATCTTTGTTGCAGATCAAGTTTGGACGACTATTGCCCTTCTGAGCAGGTTGACATCATTCAAGAGAAGGTTCTCAATTTACTAGGTTTGGTGTATGGCACTCTGGATGTGCACTTAGATTACTCAACCAACTCTTCTTTGTGACATTTCTTCATATATTGCTTTCCAATGCAGTAGATTAATTTAAATTGCATATTTGCTGTGGTTGCAGGGGAAAAAACACACTTATTTCAGCAGATGGCACTAGAACCCAAGCTGACCAAGAGCTAGGTTTAAGTTGCACTGCTTTCAGTCAGCTGTATCAGAACTGTTACCTGTTTCTTTTGATTGTTATTTTTACTGTCTTGCTTATTTTAAAAATTGGGTCAAGAGAAACGGTTTGTCCACAGAATGTATTTTTTCCATCTGATTTCTTGAAGTGTGTGTAAAAAAAAAAAAAAAAATAATAAAATCTAAAAATAAACAGATTTCTTTTATAAACTGAAACTTTTTGGAGTTCGGTGAGTAACAGATGTGTTCCTGAGTTGCATTCTATTCTTTTAAAAGTTACCTCAGTAGTGCCAATAAGACCTTGCGTTTGCATAGTGATCTTTCCTAACTGCTGTACTTCAGCACTCCCCTCACATTTTCAAGAGTAGTTTATGGCTTCTGCCCATCCACAGAATATTATTTGTATTTATAATTTGCATTAATATTGTCTCCTTACCTTAGAGTGTTTCTTTGGTGACTCAGATAATGTTCCTGATATACAGATGTTGAATTTTTATTTTTAAAGATACTTTTTAATCCTTTAAATACATAAAAAATAATGTGTGTGTGTGCATGCTTTTATTTACTGAATCCTGTAAGGAACTGAATTGATGTTTTCTTCAGGAACAAAAATTTAACTTCACTGAAGTACAGAGCCTTCTGTACCAGGCTTTCACTCATTTCATTTCCCATTTGGAAAGTAAGTTTTAGAACTATTTAACATGCAAAGCAATCTGATTCTAGAGAAAACTGATACTTCAAGAACAACAATAACAAAAGAAGAGGATTGTTTTGGAAATGAAGCTGAAATGAGAAAGAAAATACCACCCAGATTATTGTGCTTTTTTTTTGTGAATAAATTCTGCTTGTAACTTTTCTGAAATAGTTAATTTATAAGCACTAATAGTTTGCTCTACAGTGACTTCATCTACTTTTACAGTTTTTTTGTACTATTTCTGTTGTTGACACAAATGACTAGATTGTGAATACTTAATAGAAGAAATGTTTTAAAACAATAAGTTCCGTGACTACAGCACCTTTTTCCTTCTTTATGAGTTCTGTCACAAAGACAGCTCTAATCTTGGATCCAAGCTTCTTAGTACTTCATGAATTACAGAGCATATATATTGTGTACAGAAATCAAGTGGAGTAATTTCATGTACTGCTTGTGCAGAGAGGATTGTGTGTGTATGTGTGTAAGAGATGCTCTTTGCTGGGCTTTGGGTAAGGTTGTAAAGAACTAAAAAAGCATTGAAATGCAGGTGCTGGGGTACATCCCTGCTACAGCGTACTATGAGCCCCGGAGAGGTGCTGTAGCACAGTTCTGCCTGGGTGCCTGACAGGATTCTTCCTCAGGGTCCCCCAACAGAAGCAGCAGCAGGTTGGCCTGGGCTAGGCCCTGCCAACTATCAGCCTGGGGCTGCCTTGTGCCGGCTCCAGCAGGGTATGGCTGGGCCCAGCAGCCAAGATGCCAGTGCCTTGCCTTGGGGACAGCCTGGGGAAGAAAGGAGGGCACATGTATTTTTTTTATTTATTTTGGCCTCCAATGAGCTTTTTCTGCCTCATTTTCTCCCCTCCATCCTGCAGAGGAAGGGCTGGATGGACACCTGGCAGCCATCCCAGCTAGCCCACCACAATGCTCAGGCTTGTTGTAGACTGTCTCTGAGCTTTTGAGCAGTCCTTTATTGCAGGATTGGGTGTGTCCTATGGGAGTCAACTGAAGTTCTGAAACGGTTAAGATGGGTACAAGCTGTAGCCCAGGTTGTTGGTAGTCATAACCTGGGGGAAGAATATAAACTCCACAAAACTGGTGTTCAGCATGGTAAACATAACCAGGTTACAAGTGACACTTAGAAGCCTTTTCCCTCAAATGATTAAAATGAACGAAATTAAGAACATAAGTATTGCCAAGCCTGATTAGATGTCTGTTGGAGGTTTTGTGCACTGATACTGCCTAGAAGTAGTGCCAATGGTATCGTATGTGTCAATAGCCAGCTACCTTTACTCCATGCAGAAAAATACTAATGAAAAAGCAAATCAGTTTTTCTTTAATTTCCAGAAAAGAAAGTTATGTAGTCTTTCCATTTGCCTGTTCACAAAGGTTGACTTCACAATACGTAGTCTGGGTGCAACAGTGAGAATTTTACAGCAGGTTAAGACAAATTATGGAGGTTATACTGCATTAAGTCAAATGAAAAGATCAGCATCCTGTGCAATGTTTGCAGTGTATAATTTTATTTGGTCACTTTTTTACTTCTCATTGTGCTTAGAAATGTCAACGTAGTCCCAGAAATAAGCTTCCGTAATGAAGTGGGGGAATGATTAGTATGGTTTCAAGAAGACGTGCAGTCAATATTGACTTGATTTCCATTTTCAAATATTTCTTTACAAAAATGAATATTTGCAGTAGAATGCTTTTTGATACAGAATAGAATGGGTGGATCATGTCTACTTTTTAAATGTTACACTAACTTAGAATTCAAATAGGTGTTATTTGAAGTCGTGTGGAGGATCTCTTCACAGTAAGAAACAGTCATTTGAATTTGTATTGTTTCAGCTTAATTTTTTTTTTTAATGCAAGAATTAATGAGCTGTTGCTACACTGATTATAGCGAAAGAGTAAGCTAGTTACACTTAATTGCAAGAACATTTTTTAAATTATTATTATTTCAGGTGTTAAGGCAGAGTGCAGCAGTTTTATTATGTAGTCTGATAAACTCCACAACACAGGTTGCTTCGCACAGTGTTTTCTCATGTAAGTAACCAGTAGTTCCTGAAAGTGGTACTGGTAAGAAATGCCTCTATTCCCACAGTGTGCTCCTCTTCTGAAAAAGAAATGTAAACAAAATGTGAAAGCTTTTTCCCTGCTCAATATTTAACTTTGGGCCTCCTAGTTTTCCCCTTGCTTAACTTCTTACTAGTGATCCGTGATTCAGTCACACTGACCCGTGCCTATAGATGCCCTTTCTGTGATGCAAGTGTGCCATGTAAACCTTTTTTTTTGGTAGGAATCCCAGTTTAGCACCAATTTAGCTTATGTCGTTACCTATGGTAAAATGTAGCTCCATACATTCTTGATGGGATGCATCCACACCAGCCTGTGGGCAGGGGCATCAATTCCAATGTTAACCTGAAGATACTTCGGAGAAGTAAGAGAAGAATTTGGTACAGCATTTCTGTGACAGCAGACCTGAATGGGTTATGTTTAGCCTCAAAAAGAAACTAACCTGTAGTGAACAGCGTATCTCCATGCAGCTAAAGAAGAGACTTCTTTTAAATGCCTGTCTTCCTGCCACAAATACCTGTGCCGATGGAGCCTGAGGCTTCACTAACACAGTTAAAAGCATCTTGCGTATTTCCCACTAGGTGGAGAGAGAAGTGCGTGTTACTGTCTCCACTGTCCTAATTATCTGAAAGGCTGCAAATGCATTTCCAGGTTCACGTTGTGATTAAACTCTATTTATCCTTTGGAAATAATAAAAGGAGAACAGAATAACCAGCCTCTTTAATGCAGTAGAAAATTTCCAGTCACAAAGAACTCTGCATCAATGTTTGCCCCTAAGATCTGTCATGCAGATAAACAAGAGGTGAAATTTGCCCAAGTTAAGAAAATACAAATGAAAAATTACAGCCTGAGCTAGGGGCCAAACACAACTGAATTTTAAAGAAAACTTTTCTTGAGTTTGCTGTGGTTTAACCTGGCAGGCAGCCAAGAACCACACAGCACTCTGCTCCCTCCCTCCCAGTGGGATGGGGCATAGAATCAGGAAAAAAAGATAAACTTGTGGGTTGAGATAAAGACAGTTTATTAGGATAAGAAGGAAGGGAAAACAATAATAATAGTAATAAAAATAAGCAAGTGATGCACAGCACAATTGCTCACCGCCTGCTGACTGATGCCTAGCCAGTCCCTGAGCAGCGGCTGCTCCCCCGGCCAACCCTCCCATTTTTATTCTTCATCATGACACCGCAAGGTATGGGACATCCGTCTGGCCAGCCTGGGCCGGCTGTCCTGGCTCTGTCCCCTCCCAGCTCCTGGTGCACCCTGAGCCTCCTTGCTGTCAGGGCAATAAGAGAAGCAGAAAAGTCCTTGGCTCTGGGCAAGCACTGTTCTGCAGCAACTAAAACATCCCTGTGTTATCAATGTTATTTTTCTCCTAAATCCAAAACAGAGCAACATATCAAACACTATGAAGAAAATTAACTCTCAGTTGAAACCAGGACAGAGTTTTATGAATGTGAACTTGCATAGGTAAATGATACTTCAGCACTACAACAGTGGAAGGCCAATTGCAGAATTTCAGTTAAAATTGTTAGAGATCTGATTTCTGAGAACAACCAGTTTTTCATATATAAGCAGTTCTGAGCACTAAGTTCCCAAGTGAAGTTACTCTTAAAAATGAAGTCCACTATGATAACACTTCAGCAAATTCTCTGAAAATCCGCAGAAAACAAGGCAAATTGTTTACTTGCTAGGCTATGATGGTTTAAGATCTTTCTTTCCTCATGCATTTCCAACAACCATCTCTCTTTTTTGTTTCTCTAACTTGTGTGTTATACTTTGGATTCTGTGTCATAATTTTAATGAACCTCTGGGAAGTCTGTGATGGCCACTGACAGGACAGAAAAGGTTGCTGCCAAAGCAATGAGTAAGTGGAAATGGGAAAGTTCCTGGCCACCTAAAACAGTGCAGCAAGGCAGACAACCCTCACAAGATAGCTGGAGGGAAGGAGCAGAGGGGAAAGGCTGGTGCTGCTGAGCCAGTTGTTCTGCCTGTGTTTCTGACTACAAGAGGAAGATACCTCTTTGTGAGCTCCTGCTTCTGAGTGTGGGGGATTAATCCTACCACCTGATCTAGATTTAGATCTATATACATATATATATATATATATATGGACTGTATAGCAGTGATTCAGATTAGTTTCTTGGCTCCGATGAGCAGCCCTGTTGCTTGACTGCTGTCCCCCAGGGCAATTCTTGCAGAAGTAATCCCTTCCTCAAGATCCTACCTCCTGATAGGAAAGCTGGAAGACTGCCTAGCCCCTCCAAACAGACTGAGGAGGTAAAACTGCATACAGATCAAGGGAATTCCTGTTTACCTGAGCTGTTTGAGGCAATTCCCTTAAAAGTTGTGGAGATAGTTTTAATGAAATTAGCCCTAATTATGTTGTGAGATTTGACAAGAGTGTGGGCCCATTACTTTTTACAGTGTGTAATTTACTTGTCCCAAGGAACTACCCTTACAGAAAAATCACATGCCTTGAAAAATTTGCTGTCAAATCAGTCTCCCTCTTCTGTGCTTTTCTGAATGAAGAAGGATAGCTCGACCTCTGTCTGGCACAAAAACATGCAATTTTTTCATTGCAGTATTTCTACAATATTTTATCTATGTTTCAGAACAAACATAAAACCCAGCTTCTGTCTTCCCTCCTTTTCCCTTCCCCAAACTGTCCTTTCAAAATAAAGCATCAGTCAAGACAACTTCTGGCTTGATGCAGTTACTATCACCACAGATTAGCACTCAGAGAAAACAAGGGTCTGAACCGCAGAGCCAGGAAGATTACTGCCCTTTCTTAGGGAAATGGCTCATTGTCCAGATTCAGCTGTTTTATACCTTGAAGAGTTCACGAAAGAATAAATGTCCATTTTTGTGATGTTAAACCCTGCATATTAGCACACTATAGGCTAGGAATACATTTCATTTGCTGAGAAGAATCCTTCAGGGGAACAAGAAAAAGACTATAACTCATTAAATAAACATGCTATCTGCTTTATTTTCTCCTAAGACAGTGTCAGGACAACTGGAAGCCTCCCTAACTATG